TTATTTTTGAAGTTGTTTTGTTTTGTTTGTATCCTCTGTTGCCTTTTGCTGTAGTTTGAATGTGTCTACTAAAACCGCATACATAAAACAAGATCTAGTGCAGAGGTGCTGGGAAGGGAGTGAACTAAAAAAATAAATAAACGAGGAGGACATGACTGCTCCTAGGTATGATGGAGGAGGTTTATTGTAGATAAAAGGGAGAGCACAGAAAAAGGTACAGACATCTCAGAGAGTTCAGAGTAAACATGACCCTGAGCAAGCCAGGAAGAGAGGGTGGAGGGAAAAAAAAATACACCAAACACCCAAAACAAAACAGAAAGAGCGTAGGTAAATGGCTGGATTATACAGGGAGGGACAGCCCAGCCCCAGGGCCGGAGTTCAGGGTAGGGGACTGTGTAGGGACTGAGGCCTGCCTGGAGAACCCAGTGGCCAGGTCTGTTGGGTATGTTAAATACGCACCCTGGTTAGCCATTTGACCTGGTTTGAGACCTAGCAGTGGGACGTCAGAGAAAGTTTAGATCACCAGCCCCGCCCTCATGGATGAGTAGAGCAAACTGTAGAAGGGCCTGGTGAGCTTGAGCTCTGGCTTGCTCTTTTCACCCCTTGTCCTTCTGCCATGGGGAGAGACAGCAGAAAGGCCCTTGCCAGATGGTAGTCCCTCAACCTCAACCCTGAGTCATGAGTCATTACATTTCTGTTTGTTGTAGATTAACCAGCCCGCAGTATTTGGTGACAGCAGCACAAGACAGGCTAAGAACACCCCTTTTGGTTGGTAGTCTGTGGGTGTTGAAACTTGGTCTTCTCTGTTGGAGTCTGCTTTTCAGGCTGCTGTTCTTTTTATATTTTAGAGTGAGGCGCAAGTTGATAGAAAGCTCTTTGTGTCTAAGAAAGATGACTTGTAACACATATGTCTGTTGTCCATGGAGCCAGAAGAGGGCACTGGATTCCCTGGTATTGGCCTTACAGGCGGTATGGACTGTTATGTGTGTGCTGGAAACCAAATTTAGGTCCTCTGCAAGATTTGGCCATTTGCATGCATTCTCCACAGTTCCCACACACCCAAGCTCCAAATACAGACTCTGTTCTTGTTGGACCTGTTTTAGTCATATTCAATTAGCAGCAAGCATGTCGCTGGATCATGAGACCCGCTGCTTGTTCTTAGGTCCCATGCTTACACACATTCTGATAGTCACCCAGGACACTCTTACTCCACTAAGCTCCTCCAACTGAAATGGGCAGCCACAGACATAGCTCTTGTTATCAGTTCTCATTGTACAATGGGCTTTGCTTTTTCTAAATTCCTACTGGGTAGAGAAAAGAGTCCCTCTCCTCTTTGGGGAGAGGGACCACAGACTTGAAAAACAAAAACCAAACAAACCCAAAACAGTTAGAGTTCCTGCTGTTCAGGGTATCACACAGAGGTGGCAAAACAGGAACCTGGGTTGTGAAGCAGAAAGCAGCACTCTTCCAAGAAAGGGAGGTGAGGGCTAGTGTGCCTGTTCAGCTGGGCACAGACTAAGCATCAGCAAAGACCTGGCTGACCATGGCTCATGGGAGCTAGTGTTACATGTGAAGAATTACATGCCCCGCAACAGGTCTTGTACAAGGTTTATCTGGGGGGAAGAGCAGGGGAGAGGAGTTAGAGTCTGAGTGAGCCATGAGTGCAGAGAGAGACAGAGAGAGCAGAGACAAATTGAGACTGAGATTAAGGGGGAGGGGTGGCGGGTCCTATTTCCTGGTGACACACCTGGCAGCAGCCATAGGTGATGACATTAGATGTTGCTAGGCCCTGAAGGCCCCTGAAGCAGGCCAGCTGAGTCACCTGTTGCATCAACAGCTAGAACTTCCTTCCCATTTTGTCGTCCACAAATGTGCAGTGTAAGCGGATAAGACAGCTGGGCTCTGTGCAGCCTTCCCAGAGAGCTGTTATTTTTACTCTTTCATTCTTTATTTTATTTTTGACTTCATGATCATGGCTAGGTTATTGTCATGTGGGCATTTCAGCTTAGTGGGAAGAGACAAAAAAAAAAGGAAAAAAGCAAAAGAAAGTGGACGACTAATTCTTTTCAAAATGGCATGAAAGTCACACACCTCACTTCTGCTTCTATTTCTTTGGTAAAAATGTATGTATGTGAGATATGAGGGATCATGACTCTAGAGTAGCAGTTTGTCTTCTAACTAAGGAAGTTAAAGTGTAGAAAAGGGGGCCCACGGAGGGTCTCAGCAGCAGGAAGCACAGATGTGAGAAATGAAGGCAGAAGACTGGGAGACCCCCTGTTCATTCCCTCCACTTCTCTCTCGATTACAGCCAGGGAAAGTGCCTTTGCTTCTGGCCCTTTCTAAGCTAAAACTCAAAAGGTGGTGAAGGGACTGCAGATACTCTGGAGAGGAAGCCCTGGGCGCTGCTGTGTCACACGTGTGCCCTTAGTGGACTACACAGGCCACACAATGTGGCCAATTGATTCCCAGCTCTCCTCCCCGTGGCCCGTCAGCAGGCTTCCTGAAAGTGGCCGAGAGCATAAGCGCTCAACGCACACTTGGGTACGACTCAGCCTACACAGCTGGTCAGACTAGACTGATCATTCTTATTTTGCAGGCCTAATCACAGATGGCAACAGCTTTTCTTAGTTCTCATTTGTCATTATTTCTTATTTCTAAGTCATGGCCCTGACTTAGGTGTTTTGTGGGGGCTTTTAAAAAAAGATTTATTTATTATTTATACAGAAGACACCAGATCTCATTACAGATGGTTACAGCTACCATGTGGTTGCTGGGAATTGAACTCAGGACCTTTGGAAGAACAGCTAGTGTTCTTAACCTCTGAGCCATCTCTGTAGTCTGTTTCTTGTGTTTCTGAAATAGGGTTAGCTCATTATTTAGCTTAGGCTGCCCTGAACTTGCAGTTCCCTGACTGAGTCTCCCAGAATTCTGGAATCACAGACTTGTGCCATCTCAGAGCTCTGGTGTTTAGTCTGTAGTGCCTTTTCAGGAAGCATCTTTTTCTACTTAAGAGTCCAAAATGAAGATGGACAATGGTGATCCTTACCTTTAATCCTAGTATTTGGGAGGCAGAGGCAGGTAGATCTCTGAGTTCAAGGCTAGCCTGATCTACAGAGTTCCAGGAAAGTCAGGGCTGTTACACAAAGAAACCCTGTCAAAAAAAAAAAAAAGAAATCAAACTGAATCTTGAACCCTCATTCTGTAAGGCTGTATCATGTATCACCCAATTTTAATCTTAATGTCTAACAAACCTCTCCACGATCAATGCTGAGAGGCTGACGTGATTATTCAAGTGTGTGATTCTAAAGGAGGTGGATTGCAGTGACTTTGAGGATAGCCTGAGCTATTTAGCAAAACCTTGTTTCAAAACAACACCACAAACAAACAAGAAACAAATGTCCTTTCCTTTCTTGCTGTTTACTTACTACAGGGTTTCTCTAGGTAGCTTGGGCAGGCCTTGGATTCGCTTTCTGTCCCTGACTCTCAGGTACTGAGATCAGAGTGTGTATGGTGAGAAGTTTCTTTCCCATACATGAGCAGGAGTCGCCTCATGCAGCTGCACAGGGCACAGGGAATAAGGAATGAGCACTGAGAAGCCTGCTGTTTGTGACTCAGCAGGACGGAGCCTCCACCTCCTCCTTGTAGGGATGTAGGAGGCACTCTAAGGTGCTTGTTTTAGGGAATTGAGAACCTCCTCCAAGATGCAGGAAAAGCTTAAAAACAAAACTCTCTCCAGATACTGAATGATTTTCATTTACTTCACTCTCTAGCTAGGGATAGCCTATGCCCAAAGATAAAGCTGTTAAGCTGCTTCTCTTCTACAAACATGACGGGGCCTAATAGAGCTTGTTTCTTTCCGGTTTTGAAAAAGCTCCTTACTGTCTAACAGCATCTCTCACATCTCAATGCTTAATCAGCTTTCCATTTCCAGGAGGAATCAGGACGAAGGTTAAAAACATACATCACATTTGCCAACTGTATCTTTATATCACTGATGCCTTAGGCATTAGGAAACAGAATTTGTAAATATAATGGGCTGCCGGTGACTGGTTTAAACATTTTAAAATTGAAAAAGTATTCATGTGTGCATGTGTGTGCACAGAACTCATTTTATTTCCAATGTGGATTTCTTCCAACTAACCCTTATTTCTTTACTCAGGTGTATTTTTGGAGATGAATCCTCTGAGAAACTTGCAGCAGCTGGATTTAGCAGGAAACTCTGTGAGCAGTGATGGATGGCTTTCCTTCATGGATGTATTTGGCAACCTTAAGCAATTAGTATTTTTTGATTTTAGTACTAAAGAATTCTTACCAGATGCAGCACTGGTGAGAAAACTTAGTCAAGTGTTGTCTAAGTTAACTTTTCTACAAGAAGCAAGGCTCATTGGATGGGAGCTTGATGACTATGATATTAGTGTTATTAAAGGCACCTTTAAACTAGTGAATGCTTAAAGGTGCCCAAAGCCACAAAGACTTGATATACCATGTTCATCTGTACTTAGTACAGTAACTGGTCTGTACAGATTCAATAAGTACTTGATAAATATGTGACAATTAAATAAATGGGACTGGAGAGATGGCTCAGAGGTTAAGAGCACCAGCTGTTCTTCCAGAGATTCTGAGTTCAATTCCCAGCAACCACATGGTGGCTCATAACCATCTATAATGAGATCTGGTGCCCTCTTCTGGCATGCAGGCACACAGACAGGCAGAACATTGTATATATATCAAGTAAATCTTTTTAAAAAATAAATTATTAATAAATAAGCTAAAATTAATTGTCTATCATATGCTATCTAACTCAACTGGTTTGATTAAAACATTTTGGAATGTATAGAATACTTTCTCACGTGAAAAGTGTTATCAGACTTGAAAAACAGGTATTCTTAAAAAACAAAACATTAATTTGTGTATGTGGCATGCACGCATGGTGTGCCTCTGCGGGGGCAAAGGACAACTGTGAGAGTTGGTTTTTCCCTCCTTCCTTCCAGAGGATTTACCTTAGCCATTGGGCTTTGGTAGTAAGTGTCTTTATCTGATAAGCTGTCTACCAGCCCCAAGTGGGCACCTGTAGTCAAGCAAAAATTGGCAGTTCAAAAGCATCTTAATCAGAGACATGAAAACTCAGGCCATTTGTCAGGAGTTGATATGATCATTGTATTTAACTCCAACCTCAGAAATCAAGGATGAAAGGAAATCTGTATCCTATTCTTTTGTACCCCAGAGAAGTATGAGGGGTACCCTGTTCTAATCTCTGTAACCCAGGAAAGAGGGATACCCTGCCCTAATCTTTTTGTCTATCCCCTTCCAAAATAAGTCTTTCCCACAAATGAAAAAGTCTAAGAAAAAAGGAATCTCTCTTGTCTAAAGATGTAAATACAGGGAAGTCTGGGAATGGTGGGGACAAAACACCTAAAATGAAGTTAGCCTGTAGTTTGCCTTCTGTTCTCAGGGCAATCCAAGGGTGCTGGTATGGGCATTACTTGCCCTGTATGTTGTGGTCATTGTTGAACATGTTCTGTGCAGGTTATTTATAAAATTTTAGACTTAATAATTTACAAATTAACCAATTCCTTTCCCTATCTAACTATATAAATGAGAGTTCAGAGAAGATAAATGACTTGCCCATGATTACAAAATTACTCATCTACAAGACCACCAGGATTGGAATAAAAGTCTTTTGCCTAGTCCAGTCATTAAGTCAACCAAAAATATCTTGACTAAAATTTCCAATTATTAGATTAAAATATGTTGATATGTTTTTCTCATAAAATAAAAAATTAAAAGCTAGTCTATTAAAATGAACCCAAAATAAAATTCCGTTATTGTCAATGTTTATGTGATGTGCATTATATCGCCATGTGTTGTTTAAGCTCACGGAGAAACTGCTGTGGAAGTGGTGTTGCCCCACCCCCATTTCAGACCCAAATACGTTTGTCTCAGAGTACCCTCCAAGGTTCCTTTCAGGATGGGCTGCCTCCCTAACACTGCGACAGAGGGTGAGAGAACAGCAGAACAGCCCAAGAGTTAATACACATGTCGTGGAGAAGAGCTAGAAGGTGAGAAACACCCCAGAGAAGTTACTATTGTTTGCCCCGTGATAGAAAAGGGCTGAAGGGGGGGGGGGGGCTGCATGTTTGGGCATGGAAATCTCATGGGTATAGAGAAAGTCCAATCAGAAACTAGCTGGCTGTCTCCCTATCTTGTCTTTATCTTGTGCGCCTGGCTGTTTAAAGGACCCCCCAGTTGCTGGTCAACTAGCCCTTTAAGAATTCTTACACTTTACTTTCCTCAGTTGGCCTCTGGAGGGCATTGTGAGCCTCTGATGAGATAATTTGATCTCTGTTCTTTTAGTTGGAAGTCTCCTTAGAAGGGATACTCTGCTCTGTCCGAGTGGCTGTCCATCTTTCTTTCTCTTACTGTTTATTTTACTTTGGCTTACTATATATTTAATAAATATACTCAGTCAAAACCAAAAGTATGGCTATTGAAGGTCAATGGACAATTGACTAAATGTAGCATAGAAAACTGAGATTTGGGGCCAGACATGGAAAAGCACACCTTTAATCCCAGCACTCAGGAGGCAAACGAGGGCGGAACTCTCTTGAGTTCTAGGCCAGTCTGGTCTACAGAGTGAATCCAGGACAGTCAGGGCTGTTAAACAGAGAAATCCTGTCTTGAAAAACAAAACACCAAAACAAACAAACACCAACCAACCAAACAAACAAAAAAGTGACAAACAACAACAAAAACACACAAAAAACCCTGAAACAACATAAAACAACCCTCCCTTCCCCCCAAACAAAGGAAACTGGAATTTTAAAACCTCATTCCATTTACCAAAGGCTTGGTATTTGCACTTGGAAGACTGAGGCAAGATTATGGGTCCGAAGCCAGCCTGTTCTACGCAGCAAGGCCCCATTTCAAAAGACTAGTAATAAGAATTAAATTGTGCTACGTAGTAGAATATGTCTCACAATTTCTTACAGAAACTTTTACTTTTTATTTAACAAATGACTCAGGAGGACCTCAAAAAATGTAGCAAGTAAGCTTAGAAAAGCTATAAAAGAGACACTTACTTTTCAAATGGACACCTATGTCTTCATTTCCTAAGATGGGCACCCTAACATGAAACATGTTTATAAATGCCACTGAAGGAATTGAGAATTCTCAGTAAGACGCTGATCCATCCACCACATGGCTTTCCTGTAGAGGCCAGGTCACACCACACTGTAGGCGGCTACAAAGCAGCTGACATTCAAACTTCCTGAAGAAGGCTTACTTAACACCCGGGACATTTTCAAAGACCTCACTGCCACAAGGACATTTTACAAAAATATAGTTTATAGATTTCATGAAATACGAACAAGCCTACAACAATCTGACACTTAAATGGTTCAACAGTCAATGCAGGTTGGATTACTAAATACACTGGAAGCCAAGGAGTCGATATTCCCCATGAAAATAAGTCAGAGTCCTTCAAGGTCTTGGCTGTCCAGTCCTGTTGTTTCCATACCTACTTGGTATATGTGGAAAGGCTGGCCTCAATCCCTGGCCTGCTCCAACTCCTGGAACTGCAAGTCCTTGGCTGAGCACACTGCTGTATGGTGTTCCACGATTAAGACCTAAACCATACGGCCTCGTCTGTGTGTTCAGAAGAATAACTGGGCTCACGTTTTTCCCAGGCGTATTAAATGCAAACTCTGGAGGTGGGCTGCTGGGTTTGGCTGGTGTTGATGTGACAGGGGTCATATCATCAGTGTTCTTTAAGAGAGGCATTGGGATTATGTGATGGTCTGAGAAGTTTAGGACATTGGGCGCAACAGGCCCAGAGAGTAAGGCAGGCCTGTTCCAATCATCTTTGAAAATCTGAACAGTCAGAGTAGACACAAGTGTGTACAGTCTGTTGGTCACATGAGCAAGAACCATTTGTTCATTTGCATCTCGTCGAATTCTTACATGTACTGATCCAGCCTAAAAGGGGGAAAAATCATAAAAGACTGCTTAAAATTATGATGCTGAGAATTTTGTTTTATTTATTATTTGATTAGTACTTAGTATTTTTCTTAAAAAAAAAATACAACAACACAGCATCCTGCCTATTTACTACTGGTACTTATCAATGTAAAAAGTTAATGAAATGATTTGTGACCCTTGAAAAGATGGAATAGGGATGCGGTACAGTTGACAGGGTCATGCGGGGGCCCTGGGTTTGATCCCAGCACTGCAGAAACCAGGCACAGAGGGTGTACTGAGATCCCAGCACTGGGGAAGGCAGAGCATGCAGAAAAGCTAGGATTTCATTGCAGCTGTTGAAGATTTGAAAAGACAACTTCATCTGACCCAAAGCTGATGATTAAATGGTATTTCAAAAAGTAGAAAAGGAGGTGGGCTGTAGTGGTGCACACCTTTAGTGCCAGCACTGAGAGGCAGAAGAAGGAGGATCTGTGTGAGTTGGAGACCAGCCCGGATTCAACTGAGAGACCCTGCCTCAATATGTAAGTTAGGAAGTGATAAGAAAGATACCTGACATCAACCTCAGGCCTCTACACACCTCTACACCTCTACATACACCGAAACATTTACAGACACATGAACATGAACTGCAGGGGACTGTTAGTTGGTATAGCTGCTCTGCAAGGCAATTTGATAACCCACATTACAAGCCATAAACATTTGATTATTCTGTGATTGACAAAACTCACTTATAAAAACTAATTTTTTCTTTTTTTTTTTTTTGAGACAAGGTCTTTCTATGTAGCCTTGGTTTGGCCTGGAACTTGCTATGAAGACTAGGCTAGCTTTGAACCCACAGAAATCCACCTGCCTCTGCTTCCTGAGTGTTGGGATTAAAGACATACACAATCATGCCTGGCTAAAAATTAATCTTGAAAAATAATCATGAGTTTCTATAAAAATTATTTCACAAAACTACTCATCACAGCCTATTTAAACAGGTAAAATGGAAAATAATGTAAATGAGCATTAGGGGACTGATGAAGAAATTTGAAGATATTTACATAAAACTCTATAGCCATTAAAATATATACCGGAGAGTCCAGGGGTGTGTCTTTGTGGCTGAGTACTCATCTATCACATACAATGCCCTGGGTGTGGTCCCCAGCACCACAATACATGTATGCATGTATACAAACACACAAATGATAGCATCAGTTTCGGAAATGACCAAATATTTCCACAAAAACTGAAACACTATGACACCAAAACTGAAACCCTTTGAACAGATGTTTAAAACTAAGTGCTATGCTACCTTACAAAATTGTAAGCAAAAGCTGTAAGACCTGTGCGCGATCAGAACTGTGCAAGAGAAAGCACAAGGAAGTACCGGACACACCAACTGACCTAAAAACCCCAAAGCAGTTAAGTGATAGCTACTGAATGGAAATCTTAGACAGTGATCTGAGAAAGGCAGCTGAAACCAGAAGGGCCCTGGCACATTTCAATGACGGGCAAGCACACTGGGTCTGCAATGAGATCTCCTGCTCTGCAGTAGCAGAAGCCCTATGAGCTTACAGAACTAACCAGGCACAGCTTCTTTCTAGTACAAAGGCCCACATTAAGAAGTGGGAAGAGAATCCAAACAGCACAGCAGAGACAGAGGGTGAGGGAGGGTAGGCCAACAGGAGCTGTCAGGAGAAAGATGACACTTAGATTCTCATTAGTTTATATGTACTGCCTTAAGTTAGTCACTCTTCATTTTATTTAGAAAGGCATAAAGACAAGCAGCAGAAGCCAGGCTTTTAATCCCAGCACTCAGGAGTGGAGGCAGGTGGATCTCTGTGAATTTGAGGCCAGCCTGGTCTACACAGTGAGTTCCAGGACAGCCATGGCTACATACTGGTCTTAAAAAGAAAAAGAAAAAAAAAAAAAAAAAAAAAGGGGACATGTAATCCAAATGTAATGGTACATGTCTAGAATCTGAGTATTCAGGAGGCTGAGGATAAAGGCTTGCCAGGCTATAAGAGTGGGTTCAAGAACAGCCTACCTACGCTGTGGAATGAGATACTGTTTCAAAAGAAAACAAACAAAAACATGTTGTAGGAGAGTATTTAAAGATAGGAAAAACTATGAGGCATGAGGTCCCAGATTCAATTCTCTACACCTCCATAACAAAACAAACAAACAAAAACCCCAGTAGTTTCAAGGTTAAGTAAGAAAATAAAAGAAGGAAAAAAGACTTCAGTTTTCAGTAAGTAAATGCATGCATCAATATTTTAGATGCCATTAAACAGGAAAAAGAACCAAAACTTCCAAAAAATTTAAAGATTTACTTATTTGAATGGTGTGTGTAGAGTGCTTTGCTTGCATGATATGTATGTGCCATGTGTGTGCCTGGTGTCTGATGAGGCCAGGGAGAGTCGGATCCCCTGGAATAGGAGCCACCATGTGAGTGCCGGGAATGGAGCCCAGGTCTTCTGGAAGGGCAGCCAGAGCTCTTGACCACTGAACCATCGCTCTAGCCCCAAAGTGGAAGAAACCTTTTCTTAGATTTAACTTATTATTGTGTATATGAGTGCTTTGCCTGAGTCTATGTTTGTGTACTATGTGTCTGGTGCCTGCTAAGTTTCCCCTGGGATACCATGGTTGTGAGCTACCGGGTGGGTGCTGGGTCCTCTGCAAAAGCAAGTGCTCTTAAACACTGAGCCAACTCCCCATCATGAAATTTTAATGAAATACTATTTTAAGTCTTAAAAATCATGATTAAATTAGACTAAACTAACTTGTAGAAGACGTACCAATGAGCCAAATCCAAGGGTCCAAAAGTGCTCATTTCGGACTTCTAATACTCCATCCAAGGTAGATACCTAATCAAAAGCACAGAACAGGTTATCATTATTGCATTTGACACAGCAGTGCAGCCTGAGAACATTACAGACTTGCCGTAAGCCTGGAAACGACACAGCTAAACCCTGACCACAGACATGCATTAGTTAGCAGAAGTCAGAGAACTCTTGCTTATTCAGCCCTGACCCAGTGGCCCACTCCTGAATCAGGCACAGACTGCTCAGGGCTCTACATTGTATGGTTTTGGTTTTGAACAAAGTAGCCATATTTATGACAAGCATGTGTGGAACCAGGTTTCTATTTTAGGGCGTGGGTGTATGTGTGCATGCATGTTTTGGCTGTTTCTTTGCCTGCATCTTCTTGCAACAAACCTCTGTTTGAATGTAGGCCACTGGGTAAATTCCAGGCCAGATATAGTCATAAGGACAGTGACAAAAAAAGATACACGCAGGGCCAGGATTCAATCTGAGACATGCAGCCAACTATGTTGGAAACATGGCGCTTGAGATGCTGATTACCAACAACAGTGTCAACATGCAAAGCCATGATCGTTCTTCTTTAGCAGGTGCAACTTTCTAACAAAAGAAAGCTACCTACAACTAAGAAGTTGGGTGTGCTAGCATGTAGGTATAGACTTTCGGCTTTAGTCAAAGAGCGAGGAAAATCATTTGCTCAGCTGATATGATGTCTTCAGGCCATTACCTTCTACATTTACTTCAAGTCAGTTTGTCTTTTCAACTGAGCAAGTCCTCAAATTCTATTTTTGTCTCCATGTTATAGTTTCTACTCTGTTAGTATAAAACACACAAATATCCCCTAGAAGAAAATTCTACAGTTGAATATAGTATACACACCATACCCACCCTTTTGTTTCCCTAACATAAATTTTAAAATAACTTATTGGGGGCTGGAGAGATGGCTCAGAGGGTAAGAGCACTGGCTGCTCTTCCAAAGGTCCTGAGTTCAGTTCCCAGCAACCACATGATGGCTCACAACCCTCTAAAATGAGATCTAGTGTCCTCTTCTGATGTGTAGGCACACATGCAGACAGAATACTGTACAAATAATAAATAAATAAATAAAAATTTACTATTCCATCTTACCTCTCTGATCAGTTTGTCCAACTGACCAATAACATGAGGTGGTGTTGTCTAGAAAAAGAAAACAAAACATGAACAGCCTGGGGAGAAAATAATTTTGCAATAATGATTTTGAAGCCCCTCAACATCCACAAATGGATTTCAAACCAGCCCTAGATTTATTATTATTTTTTAAGGTTTATTTACTTTAGCAGAGTGCAGTGGCACATGCCTGTAACCCCAGCACTTGGGGATGCAGAGGCAGGCGGATATCTGGTCTACAAAGTGAGTCCAGGACAGCCAAGGCTACACAGAGAAATCCTGTCTCAAAGAAACCAAAAAATTTTACCTGCATGCGCAGATATAAGGACCACATCCATGCCTGGTGGGATAGATGCCCTGGAACTGCAGTTACAGACAGTTGTGAACTGCCCTGTGAGTGCTGGGAATTGAATCTGGGTCTTGAGGAGGAGCAGGCCAGTGCACTTAACCACTGAGCCATCTCTCCAGTACCCCGCCTTAGATTTTTGACATGTCCCATTAAGATTTTGGGAGGAGAGGTCTCATTGGCTCAGCAAAACAACATCACTAACTGGCCCACACTTGGTTTTTTTTTTTTTTGTTTTTTTTTTTTTTTTTTTGTTTATGAGCAAAAATAGATTAAGAAGAGAACTAGGCTGGAGAGATGGTTCAGTGGTTAAGAGCACCGGCTGCTCTTCTAGAGGTCCTGAGTTCAATTCCCAGAAACCAATGGTGGCTCATCTGTAACAGGATCTGATGCCCTCGTCTGGTGTGTGATCACTCATATACATAAAAATAAATAAATATATTAAAGTTAAAAAAAACAAACCAAAACCAGTGAAGTGGAAGGGCCTTCCAGGGAAAAACAGACCATACTCTTCCTCATCAGAAAAAAAGCTGCTTTTTCTAGAATCCAGTGAGACTTAAGGAACCAACCACCAAGGGGCTGAGTGATGGATGATTCAGCAGTTGACAGTGAGCTTCCCGATGTGGTGAGACACATCTTTAGGAGGATCTCTGTGACTCTGATGCTAGCCTGGTCTACACAGTGAGTTCCAGGACAGCCAGGGCAATGAAGAAAGACCATGTCTCAATAAATCAAAAACCACCACCACAACAAGCGCTTCCTGCTGCTGCTGAGGACTGCAGTTTGGCTCCCAGCACCCGTGTGAAGGCTCACAACTGCCTCTAATCCCCGTTTCAGGGTATCTGAGCTCTGTTCTGACAGCTGAGGACTTCTCTCTGCACAGGATGCACATCCAGGAACTCAGGTGCACACACATAAAATAAAACAGCTGCTGGTCATGGGGCTTACACCTTTAATCCTAGCACTAAAGGCAAAGGCAGGCAGATCTCTGTGAGTTCCCAGCCAGCCTGGGTTATATAGTGAAACACTGTCTCAAAAAAACAAAATCCCAAAACAAAACAAACTATACATAAATGAATGAATGAATGAATAAATAAATAAATAAATAAGTAAGTAAAGTGGAAAAAAAAAAGACAAAGAACAAACCAACAAACTAACAAAAGTCCATAAGAAATGTTTTGACAAGTAACATTTCACTTAGGACATGAGTATTGTGTTGCCTTTATTACTAAGTTCCAGGAAAAGCATGAGCTTAAAAGACAAAAGGAAGAGCAAGATTTACCTGCACCTAGATCTGGGAAACCTGTTTATAGTATTTGTTTTGTTTTGTTTCTCGAGACAGGGTTTCTCTGTACGCAGAGCTACAGCCTTGGTTGTCCTGGACTCACTTTCTAGACCAGGCTAGCCCTGAACTCACAAAAATCCACCTGCCTTTGCCTTCTGAGTGCTGGGAATAAAGGCGCACATCACCACACCCAGGCTATTTATTTTATTTTAATACCACGTTTGTCACTGTGATGATCCAATGACAGGAAACAAAAAAGCAATCGCAGCTAGACTATGCATATAAGGTAGTGCATATTTACCCAAAAAATTATCTAAAAATATTTAAATGACATTATTTGTATGTAAAATATGACTAGCACAAACAATTACAAATCCATGGCTGCACACGATAGGAACGTAGAAGAGGGAGCGAGAGTATCACGGGGCCTTACCTGGAGAAGAACCTTCCCACTGTACACACTCATGGGGTACATGGTGCCAAACGTCATCAGGGCGATGGCTATCGCAGAGGCAGTATCCACAGCAAAGTAATTACTGCAAGGGAAGCAGGCTCTCAAGTGTGCGGCTCAACATACAATTTGATAACACGTCAAAACTTATGATAAAAAACAGTTTTAAAAGCAATCACAAACAGCTACTATTGTCAAGAGAGCACCTGGAGGGTTCAGGGTGTGGGAGGGGACAGCAAAACTCCAGAAAGTCAGCTTTTTTTTTTTTTAATTAATTTATTTATTTATTACATATACAGTGTTCGGCCTACACACCAGAAGAGGGCACCAGATTTCATCATAGATGGTTATGAGCCACCATGTGGTTGCTGGGATTTGAACTCAGGACCTCTGCAAGAGTAGCCAGTGCTCTTAATCTCTGAGCCATCTCTCCAGCCCAAGCTTTTAGAATCCTTGCCTGTCAAAGTTTAGTGAAAAAATAATTATATTAATTAGTGTGAGTGGGGATGATAAGAAAAACAAACGAGTCTTCCTTTACTTTTCATTTCAATATACCTGACACCAGAAAGACTGCAGACTTCAACTGATAACTTCCGATACTGAGACAAATGACTTTGCATTACTGACTCCACCCATTTTTCTCTCAGCAATTCTTATATTAAAAACTTTAAAAACCAGAGGGCTGGAGAGATGGCTCAGAGGTTAAGAGCACTGGCTGTTCTTCCAAAGGTCCTGAGTTCAATTCCCAGCAACCACATGGTGGCTCACAACCACCTATAATGAGATCTGGTGCCCTCTTCTGGCTTGTAGGCGTACGTGCTGGAAGAACACTGTATACATAAATACATAAATCTTAAAAAACAAAAACAAAAAAATTTCAAGGCAGAGGCAGATGGATCATTGTGAGTTCAAGGCCAGCCTGATCTAGTCCAGAACAGCCAAGGCTACGCAGAGAAACTCTGTCTCAAAAAAAACAAACCCAAATAAAAACAAAAACCCACTTCAAAAATAGCCAGAGGCTGGTGACACACTTTTAATCTCAGCAGTCAGCAGGCAGATCTCTTAGTTCAAGGCCAGCCTAGTCTATATATCAAGTTCTAGAACCACCTGGACCATACAGAGAAACCCTATCTAAAAAAGCAAAATAAACAAACAAAAAGTTTCAAAGTTTCCTAGGAATATGCTATGGTGACATTATGGCTAAAGGCCTACATCATATCAATGTGTCAAATTCTGAAGCTCTCCTAACAAAACAGAAAATGCTAACTAAGTGCTACAAGCTGATTCTGAGCACTTTTACTTTCTCACTATACTTGAATAGAAACAGGTATAAGACACAGTTTCTGCCTTACAAGGAGAAGTGCACACTGAAACCACAGTGAAGCACTCTGGGTGGTAAAGAAGTCCCAAACTGAGCATGGCACACAACAGTAATGGCAGCCTTCGGGAGGTGAGAGTTCCAGAGTTAAAGGCCAATCCTGGCTATGTTGCAAATTCCAGGTCACCCTATACTACTCAAACTTTACTGTAAAAACCTAATAAATGAAGTAATAATAATGATCAAGTACAAGTCCGTCCAGGACATTACTGAGTGAGTAATGAGGCTCCCAAGGTAGGGGGGAGTTCAGAAAAGCTAGAGATGGAGAGATGGCTCAGTATTTAAAAAAATTGCAGCTTTTCCAGATGACCCAGGTTCTGTAACCAGCACCCACAGGGTGGCTCACAACTGCATGCAATTCTACTCCCAAGATAGCCAATGCCCTTTTCTGGCTTCCATGGGCACCAGGCACATACACATTGAATGGACATTCATGCCGGCAAAACACCCTTACTCATTATTAAAATAAAAAAAAAATTAAAAAAAAAAAAAAAAAAAAGGAGTTGGGCTTTTAGAGCTGAGCAAAACAATGAGAGAAAGATACTCCAGAAAGTGAAAGCAACATGGGCAAGGAGATGAAACTATGATGCAGAAGCTGACACTGTGGTCCAGACGGTAAGGTTTGTAGAGGGCTGACCACACAGGACCCCAAGCTAACCACCTTCAGTGTTTTTCAAATGGAGGGATTTGAAACTGGAAAATCCTACTGGTAATTTGGGAAGATGATGAAGACATAAACAGTAATGTAGAAAATTGACTAGAGATGGATAAGAATGAAGACAGAAGACCAAGAGAATTTTAATGACAGTCATGATGGCAACGGCTTTATTTGAGACAGCAAAAGAGCAAAGAGCCAATAAATATTAAGATTGCATTTTCCTCATGATTAATCAGATTTGCCTTGGGGAAAACTGAGCAAAGAGGAAGGCAGAGCAGGCACTAAAGAAGGCACTGAGGTTTCTCAAAGCACACATGAGTCTACTTCAGTGGAGACATCACCAAGAGACACTAGGGACTGGACTGGGTAGCTGTACACTTCAGTTCACAATGGCATTATTCACAGCAGCCAAAAGGTGGGATCAATTCAAATGTTTATGGGCAGACGGGTGGGTAAATAAAATGTGGGATTTGGCTTCAAAAAGGAAGGAAATGCAGATATATACATCATGGATGAACTGTGAAAACACTGCTATATAAAAGAAGCCAGTCACAAAAACATGATTGTACGTTGTACTTAAACTGTAGTTAAAATGTGAGGCAGAGTGCAGAATGCTTGCATGGGAAATAGGGAGGTATTATTTAAATGGGGACAGAGCTCCAGTTAGAGATGAAGGAAAAGTTCTACAGATAGATGATGGATGGTAATGATGACTGTACCAAAATGTGAACATACTTAACAAAAATGTGAATGTACTTAATGTCACCAAACTGTATGCTGTAAAATGGTTAAAATAAGAAACAATTTTAAAAAATGTTGAGCCGGACTGGGTGGCACACTCCTGTAATCCCAGCACCCTGGGAGGCAGGTGGATCTCTCTTGAGTTTGAGGTCAGGTTGGTCTACACAGTGAGTCCAGGACAGCCAAGGCTACACAGAGAAACCCTGTCTGGTAAAGCAAACCAAAACCAAAACAAACAAATGTCAGGGCTTGGGAGACGGTTCAGTGAGTTTGAACACTTGTCTCTCAAGCCTGATGACTGAGTTGGATAATTAAAGCTCACATAACAGGCTGGATGTGGTGACCCACATCTGTACTGTAATCCCAGTACTCCCACAGTGAGACGGGAGGCTCACCAGAAGCCCATGGGTGAGTGAGGCTGGAGCATGCTGCAGATGTGAAAAGTCCTGCTCCAACAAGCTGGAAGGTGAGCACAGGCTCCCAGAGCTGTCCTCTGACACACAGACAGATAGATATATATAAGAAAGAAACCAGTGCACGGCAATGTGCACTGGGAGAGCTGACAGCTGCAGGCACTCAGGCACAATGTCAGAAAGGTTTCAAAGATTGGCAAGTATGCTTAGGGGAGGAAACACCACTAGGAGTTAGGGAGGTATAATGCCTTGGAATTCAACCTAAGTCTGGGTGGAAAAAAGGATTTGGGAATCCTCACCAAGGCAGTAAATAAAAACATAAATGCCTGTGACATTTTAGGAGAAATAATAACTAAAAAGCCATTACAGTATATATAACTGGTTAAAGGTAAGTTAATCAAAGAATTCAGTTGTAAAATGTTGATCTAAAAGCAGGTTACTGTCTACTTTAAAACGCTTTAATTTTAAGTTGCTTCTGGCCTACCCCCTCGCCCCCACCCTCCCACGTGGCAAGAACAGCTGCGACTCAATCTCCCTCTTAGTGCCTCTGCCTCATTCATCTGGCCAGCAGTAGGAATTAATGTTCTTGTCTTCATTCTAAGTGTGGTGAGAAATACTGATGCCTGATTCCCTTAATTTTTTGGATGGAAATACTTGAGAGCAAGACCTGACCAAGGCATACAGGTCATAAGCAAAAATGCTAGAAGCCTGACCCTAATCCATCTTGTCAATGCCACTGAAGTCAGGTCCCAGGATCAAACCCCATCTGATAGCAATACAATATACTTACTTAATTTCAATCAGCATGTACGTTATGCACAGAGCAAATGCCCCGGCAAGATCAATCAGGACAAATGGATTCATGCGGGGCAGGAAGATGCTGCTGAGTCCTGGAATGATCCCACACAAACTATGGAAGACAAACAGTATTCGTTAGAGTCTGCACAGTGCGGTTAGAGCACTGCTGAGGTGAGCCTACTTCTTGGAGAGCAGAGGGCTCGGAAGCAAAGCTCTGCCACTGTACAGAAGTCTTCTGTGTCATCCATCAGAAAGCCAAGAGAAGCTGAGAACTGAGCTGGGCAGCTCATGCCATGAGTTCAGCTGCAAATCTAAGCTTTCATGATAAAGGCACTTCTTGGGAATTCTTGTTAAATGAGGAAAATCAGAAAACTCAAGAGCATCTTACCTTCGACTGAGGTCTGCAACATGCTCCTGAAGCCAGCTCGTACTAGCAGCTTTAAGGAGAAAATACTTAAATTATCTTCACAGAAGAACAAACCATCACTAGAAAAATGAGTTCTTTCATTTTGAAAATAAGTTTGGCAGTGAGCATGTAACATGACAAAGGGCAATACTTCTCAAATCTACAGCCTTTTCCTTTTTCATGAAAAGAGGTAAGTCTGAAGCAATTCCAACTTCGATGGACAGTTGACTTGAAGGAGTTAGAGGACTTGGACCATCACTGCTGCTTTTAAAGTAAAGTTTTAGGGATGTCAAGATGGCTCAGCCTGATAATCTAAGTGTGACCCTTGAGACCCACATGATGGAAGAATATCATCCACATGATGGATGAAAGGCTCCAGCTTTCTGGAGCACTTCAGAAAGCTCTCATGTGGTCTTCATGTTGCTCAAGTCCAAAGCCCGAAAGATCATCATGTATCAGTGTCCTCTGTTCCAACATGGACTGTGTACCCACTCCCTTCTCCATCTGCTAAGAGCTAAGTTCTTTGCTGATTAATGAGATTTCAAAACACTAAAGGTTTTGAAAACAATCAGCAATTTACACCAACGAAGTAGGAAAACTGCTTGAACCTGTGAAGACTTTGGGATTCCTTTATTTGTTTTGTTGACAGCAGGATCTCAGTATGCCAGCTGTTCATTGTGTGACACAAAGTGGCTTCAAACTAACTACAATCCTGCCTTCTCAGCTTCCCTCTTTCTGAGATAATAGGCATGCGCTGCCATGCCTAGATAAACCTGTAATTTTTCATCATGTATGATATAGTTCAAAGCCAGTTCACTGGCTTTTCTATTTTGTACTAACGAGATTAAATACTGTGTACTCTTCAACATGAAGACTTGAGAAGTTAGTTGGGCAGTGGTGTCGCATACCTTTAATCAGCGATCGGGAGGCAGAGGTAAGCAGATCTCTCTGTGTTCAAGGCCAGCCTGGTCTACTGAGTGAGTTCTGGGACAGCCAAGGCTACACAGAAAAACCCTGTCTCAAAAAACCAAAAAAGAAAAAGTCTTGAGAAGCTTTGGGCTAGCTCTTCCTTCTCTGCTGTATATACTTTTCATAGCTTTACCAGTTAATAAGAAACACACCAGTTTTTCTAAGAAAAAAGTTTAATTAACTATAAACTTAAACAAACAAACAAACAGAAATCATACCTTCAGAGACATAAGCAAAAGGTTTATTCCGAATAGAAAGCATGGTGAACAGGTTGAAAGAAAGAGCCACAAAAGTACCAACTAATAATCTTCCCCTGGAAAGAACAAAACATTCACTTTTAATTTTTTTTTCTTGATAATTCCAATCTGTCATTTCAGTGTGTGGAGAGAATAAGGGACAGTAGGGAAGAAGGTCCAGCATAACAGTGCTAACCGGAATCTAGCTGTTTTCTACTTATGTAGCGCATGTCTTGCCTGCTGCTGTCCCATTTTACACAGGACAGGATGGTCTCTTACCATCAACTATGTCTTCTATAGATAATTACCACTGTGGATTTATACAAATGTTAATGGACATTGTGGCAACACACTATAGACAAGACAACATGCCTGAATTAACAGGTAAGGCCCACAGAGTTGCTAAGCAGGTGGGTGATAAATACAGTCTTTTCTAAAGGCAGCAAGGAAAGATTTTGGGGCCAAATATAAAAGGATAGAACACTAGAGGAAAGGAGCTGGTTTAGTGTACTGAGCTCAGCCTGATTACAAAATCCTCCCTGTGCCATTACAGGTTCTGGGAATTGCTGAAGGAGAAAAGGAGTCTTGGGGTTTGGAGAGTTTCTTCCTGAGAATCCAGTGATAAGCTAGATGGCTGCTCTATGAACTCTGACGCTGGACAAAGTAATAATGGAGCAACTAGTAATTGGGATAAAAATCAACAGTAAACTACTCTCCCGAATAAAATCGTTGGCTGGTGATATGCCAGTGGTAGAATATGTCCTTAGCACACCCTAAAACTAGACAGATCTCAGAGTTGTGAGAAATAAATAAATAACACATCTTACGTGTGTATCTCAGGCTGCTCCAAAAAGCGTTCTGCACTAAAAGAAAAATATATCAAATAAGTTCTACAAATTATAAAACTACAATCCTGTATTAAATATATAGTTATGTATTATACATATGTAATTAATCTACCCTAGAGTTCATAAAAATCCTTTGGTGGTGACAAGGCCAGGAGACTAACATATCTTCTCAATATGAAATTTCAGCATTTCTCAACCAAGCCTCCCACACATGTCAGGCTGAGTCTCTTCCATTCAGATTCACCTATGACTGAAGTTAGTACTACCAAAGGAAGAACAAGAAGTGGAAAAGAGGGGCTGGAGATATGGCTCAGCAGCTAGAGCACTGGCTGTTCTTCCACAGACCCTGAGTTCAATTCCCAGCAGCCACATGGTAGCTCACAACTGGCTGTAACTCTAGTTCCAACGGATCTGATACCCTCACATGAACATACATGTTGTAGATGTTTTGATTTATGATATGTAAACATGTTTTGTTTTAATACCAAGTGGAGGATTTTAGTTTGTCCACACCTGTTAATTGTCTTGTGTAGAGCATGGTCTTTGCCAGCTGGAATTAGCTGAAATCTGAGGCTTTTGAGGGGTACATGTATAGGACAGCCCAGAGGAAGAAGGCATGGTGGCTTGGAAGAGATAGAGGACTGCTGAGTGCTGACTGCATTTGCTGTTTGTTGGTTTGCTGGTTACCTGGACTTCTGGACTTCCTGACGAAGGATATTGGTATTGGCCCCAAAAGAATCCTACAACCCTACCCACCAGAAGAAGTAAAGAGGGCTATGTCCTCTTTGGAAGGGAGGTGTAAACTTCAAGGAACCCACAAATGAAGTAACATTTGAAAAACTAGCACCTACAGGTGGTGCCCTACATTGGGCACCACTTGTCGATCTTTTAAAACTAGTTTATTTTGGTTTCTTATGCCTTTTTCTCCCTTCTCCATCTCAATCCCTTCCAACACCCCAACACCAGGTAAGAGAGAAGGAATGTTAATGAGGAGTGGTGGCAGAGTTCTCTTTAGCTACTTCCTGCTGATTAGGGCCATCAGGTTCCTTAGGGCAAGTGCAATCCTCATTTCAGAATATATCCAACTTCTCATCCAACGGCATCAATAGCAATCAGGAGCCTTCTTCTTTCTTGAAGCTCCCTCAACACTCTCTCTGGGCTCTGGCCTTTATTTCCTCTTTAGAGTCCTCAGAATTAAACTATCTGCATCTGGCAAAAGAGCATCTCTCAGAGCCTGTACAAGGCAAATAGTTTGCTGTTGTGAACAATCTTAATCAGTTCCATACCCCACACCGAGGATTAAAACAAAAACATGTTTACATCCACAATACATACATGAAGAAAAAAAACACCAATGCACATAAAAAAGGAATCATCTAGAAGTGGAAAAGAAAAAGAAAGGGTCTGAAACAAGAAGAAATTGTTCTATCAGAGCTTGAACACTGTCCACTGTAATTTGTACACTATTCAAACTGTAGGTCTCACTGGATTGTCTCATATATCCAAGCATCATGGGTGAGACTGATCATTATACATACAAAAATGTACCTTTCTTTTAGTATAAAGAGGGCTCCCAACTGTGCCAAGACGGTAGAAGCAAATACAGCCAGGACTTCTAATCTTTCAAACCTGAAATCAGATAATCAGTTAGGATACTGTGACTCTTCAGTTAATGAACCAGTCTTCCTAGAACACAAATACATTCAATTATTCACTGGGTCAGTATAAGTATGGGCAGCCTACTGTCAGCCAAACTATGAGACTACAGAAGTTGTTCAATAGTGATACACAGTGGATAAGAGGATGTCTGGCTGTGACATCTGCCACCTTCCTGACGGTCAGGATTGACTGGGTTAATCTACCTAGCTGGACAGATGTCTTCTTCCCTTGCTGTTCAAGTGTGTCCTTCTGGAAACTGTGCAGTTTGAAAAGGATGATTTACCCCTATAGAGGAGAGCTGTTCTTCAGTCAAGGGCATAGATTATTTGTACCCCCTGGAAGAACCTCCAAACAAGTTCCCAAAGATAACACACAATGAAAACCAAAATGACACTCTCTATATTATACATATTTATGTAACTATTTATGGCCATTACTTTTGTAGAAACAAAATTATCACAACAGTTAACACTTAATTGACCCATTTTGTACTGGACATTATTCAGTGCTTAACCTATTTCAATTAATTGTTTTGTTTTTGAGACAGGGTTTCTCTGTGCAGGCTTAGCTGTCCTGGAACTCACTCTGTAGACCAGGCTGGCCTCAAACTCACAGAGATCTGCCTGCCTCTGCCTCCCAACTTTTGGGATTAAAGGTATGTGCCACCAAAGCCCAGTTCAGTTAATTCTCAAGTATTGTAATGGCTCAACTTGATTGAAACACAAGACTAGTGAAGCACACCTCTGAGACTGTGATAGTATTTCCAGAAATAATTAGAAAATGAGGGTTCTAAGGTAATCAGTGCAAGAGATGGTCCCTAGCTGGAAGGAACAGTGAGACGCATGCCCTGGGGGTTAGATCGTGATCTGGTCTCTTCCTATATGCCTCTTTTTTCTGCTTTCTGTCCTCCATAATACAAACAGCTGTCTTCTCCTGTCCTTCCCCACTACATGATGCATAAGTGATGTTCAACCACTTATGACCAAGAGATCATGAACTGAAACATGAACTCTCTGAAACAATGAGCCAAACTAACTCCTTCCTTTCCCAAGTTGTTTTAGTTTCTGTACAGATAAGTAACTCCCAAGTTACTTACATAGGAAAAGAAACTGCTACAGAATCACTCAGCTAAGTACCCATCCAGTCAGTCAATGACTGACACAGTAGCTGGATGAGTAAGATCTTGTACTTAGATACTCTGACTCCCAAGTTCCTAATTTTACCCATCAATGCTGCCTCCCGTTTCTACACACAGTTACTGTTAATTATGAGCATGTGTTCTAATGTGTATCCTTTAAGCTAGAAATCATCAGTGTTTTTCTCCAATATATATTCTAAAATAAATATACACAGAGGGTAAGTTTAAATGCTTAAAAGTTCTCATGGAAATAACCATGGAAATTGGAAAAAATATAATTAAGGATGTTCAGCATATTGCTGTTTAGAAAGGAAATGCTTTGAAATGAACAGAACTCTATGCATTATTAAAAGAATAACCAAAATATATTTATTAGCATGGCTAGATGGGAACAAAAATATTAAGTTATAAAAATACCAAAACATTATGTAAATAAAACAATGCTATGTGTGGAAAGTAATAAGCTGACATAAAAAGGTATGTAAATATAAAAAGTGAAGGGAAGCAGACAGTTTTGAAGTATTATAGGACAGACAAATGTAACAACGTTAACAATAAAGAGACTCAAAACCAAATTGTTACCTCTCTAGTTGGCAGCATGAACCTGGGAGAGCGGAGCCTAAAAGTGAGGCGAGTCAAAGTCTCATGCGATTTTGCATCAGAAAATTTAACTCTGAGGGTTAAGCAAAGTCATGTGCAACGATCACAGGAGTTTAGGCCTTAAATACTCAGGAGAGCAACCTGCTTGGAAATATCATCCAAGTAATAAGAGCAGATGATGTGTAATCGGAAGTAAACCTGCTCCTATTTGCTCTACCTGGGAGGGCCATGAAAGCACATTCCAAGAACAATCCCGACTTATGGAGAATCAGAGATTACAAGACATTTTCCCCGCTTCTCTGGAGTTTTCTCACAAACTCCTCGAATTCTCCTCATACAGCTTCATTCACGGACTTTGTTCCAACATCAAACCAATATACATACAGTCATCTGACTTATGGAAAAATGACATAAAAGCAGCAGAAAATGGAAAGTTGTGTCTCCAGTGAATGGTATTTGACAGCTGAAAATCCGTGTGAAAGTAAACATGCCTTCACCAATAACTCACGTCACATATGAACTCAGTTTCAGGAAGATTGCAGACTTAATATAAAATATGACACCAGGACTTTGGCTGAAAACAGAGCGGTATAGTGGCTCATGCCCAGCTGAGGGAGCCTGGGCTACATAGCGACACTGTTTTAACTATTCCCCCCAAATTTTCCTTACTGAGATACAATTCTTTTGTATTTCAAATTGCTTTCTTGTATCTGGAACAAAGTCTTCATGTTTTCTAACACATCATTAGAGCTGCCTCTAGTATAAAAAGTGCATCTTTCAACTCTCAGTGATTTCTGTAACTACAGACAGAGAAGCTTCCAAGTTTGCTAAATCCAAAGTCTCACTATCTCCACCAACACAAAATACTGAAACTATAGTAACATAAAATTCATTTGTTAAAATCCTTCATGCTTTCTATGATTAAAACACCATTTTAAGGGGCTGGAGAGATGGCTCAGTGGTTGAAAGCACTGACTGCTCTTCCAGAAGACCTGGGTTCAATTCCCAGCACCCACATGGCAGCTTCATGTAACTCCAAAATCTGACAACCTGACACAGGTATACATATAGGCAAAACATTAATGCACATAAAATAAAATAAAAAATTTAAAAAGCCTACCATTTAAAAAATGTTAAAAAACTTATTGAGATTAACTTATGCTTTCATAAAACATTAAACAACTGAATATGAATATTTAATATAATTACTGTTTTTATTATCTATCATTTCTAGACTCTTCTTAGAAAACATTTTTATTTATTCATTTTGTTGTTGCTGAATTTTTTTTTTATTTATTTTACATATGAGTGCTCTATTTTGAGTGTACATCTGCATGACAGAAGAGGGCACCAAATCTCATTATAGATGGTTGTGAGCCACCATCTCTCCAGCCCCTGTTGTTGTTGTTTTGAGACAGGGTTTCTCTGTGTAGTCTTGGCTGTCCTGGAACTCTCTCTGTAGACCAGGCTGGCTTCAAACTTAGAGCTCTACCTGCCTCTGCCTTCCAAGTGCTGGGATGAAATGTGTGTGCCAACTACCGCCCAGCTAGAAAACATTTCTTATATATGTTCACTACTTAATAGCCATGCCACTAAGTAGGCAGCATTTATTTATTTTTATTTTCCAGAAATACTATAGCCAGCCCTCTATCACTATTTTAACAGCAGTTATTTAGCAGAAAATAAAATAATTTGAACTTACCCAAACGAATAGGCAGGGCTAGGCTTCCTCATCATTACCCAGTAGCTTATTAAACATGTTATTAAACTAAAGAAAAACAAACTCCATTAGAAAGCTGAGCCAGAAATAATACACAGAGACAAACGAAGTGGCTTTTTATTATAAGGGTTTATTTTTCTGTGTGTGTGTGTGTGTGTGTGTGTGTGTGTGTGTGTGTGCACACGCATGCACACATGTGTACACATTGTCATGCAGGTGCCAGTGGAGGCAAGGAGTTGGATCTTCCGGAGCTGAGGATGCGGGTGGCTGTGAGCTGGGCGACGTAAGCTCTAGCAGCTTACTTAGGTCCACCGCAAGAGGAGCAACCACAGCACTATAGTTCTAGTTCCCCTTACAAATTAACGTTTCAGAGTCCCTCAGTTGTTGAAATTGTTCATATTTAATATACTAGGTTAACAATAAATTACAGTTGGGAAGAGCGGGCCTTAATTTATAATTAACCCCAGCGATTCTCCTAACATACAGTGTCTATAGATAACAACAGTTGTAATGTGAAAAAACTGAGTGAATTTGTAATTCACTAACCAGAGCTAAAGAGAACTAAAATCCACACTTCCTTTATGTGGCAGACACTTAACTGATGCTGGCCCATCTCCCCTTCCACTCAAAATGTACCATCCTCCACCTCCTCTTTCTTATGCTGCATGCTGCTACAGTGTCCATATGATGAGAGGAAGTGAGGTAAAGGTCATCGGCACTGTGCTCAGTTAGGGTTTCCCCTGCCGTGATAAAACACCATGGCCATAGCATGCTGGGAGGAAAGAGTTAACCTCGGTTTACAGTCCTCAGGTCACAGCCCATCACTGAGGGAAGCTGGGGCAGAACTCAAGTGAGGTAGGAACCTGGAGGTGTGCTGACAGAGGCCAGGGGGGGGGGGTGCTGTTTACTGGCCACCCTCCATGGCTTGCTCAGCCTGCTTTCTTATACATTGCAGGACTACTTGCCAGGGATGACACCTCCACACTGCACCCTCCCATGTCATTAATCACTGGTTAAGACAATGCACCAAAGACCTGCCTAGAGGCAAACCCAAGGAAGCATTTTCTCAACTGACAGGCCCCTCTTCCCAAATGACTTAATCTTGTGTCAGGTGACAAAACTACCCAGAAAGAAGTGGGCATAGCATTGTGTCCCTTTGTCAGGTCTAGCCGAGCCCAAGCACTATGGAGCAATGACTGTCCACCTGTTAACAGAAGACAGAACTAAGAGACTAACAGGCAAGTCTGCAGTGTATGTACACTGGCAAAGTGACAGTTCATGCCCTGGGCTGGGTGAGTTAGTACAGCCAGAGGTCATTACACTGCTCAGAATGGCCTGGGATTTAAAACTTATGAATCAATTGTTTATTTCTGGAATTCTTCCCCTAGATTTTCAGACTGCAATTGGTGAAACCATGGATAATGAAGACTACTGTAAACATTAAAATAAGTTTGTGAAGGCCAGTTAAGTTCTGGAGGATTGACTTTGTGTGATTTTAAATTGTTTCTTATTGTTAATGTGTATTTATGTGTGCACTCAAGCGCAGGTGAACAAGGAGGCCAGAGGTTGTCAGAGCCTGCTGAAGCTGGTGTTAAAGAGCCCTGTGAACCACCTGGCATGATTCTGGGAACCCAACCTGAGTCCTCTGGAAGAGAACTGGCTCTTGACTACCCAGCCAGCTCTCCAGCTGTCATCTGTGTGATTTTAAGTATATGATTTATCATTTTATCATTTTATTTTCATCCTTCAGAATAATTTTGCAGTTCTTGTCAGCATGTGGCTATCTTAAGTTTATGCCTGGATATTTACCTTTCCATTGTTACACACGTGTAATATTTTCTTGTTATATCAGCGGGTCTTATCATTTGTGTTGTGCATTTCTATGACATTTTTTTTCTCTTTTGGTTTTTTGATATAGTTTCTCTGTGTAGCCTTGGCTGTCCTGGAACTCACCCTGTAGACCAGTCTGGCCTCGAACTCAGAGATCCACCTGCCTCTGCCTCTCAAGTGCTGGGACTAAAGGCATGTGCCACCACTGCCCAGCTTTTCTTTGATAAATTTACTTACTTTGATAATTACTTTTCTTTAAGTAAATAAAGCTTAACAAATTCAGTGCAATAAATCCTTGTCTGCTGTCTTTAAAATTTAAAGGATATTAAGGCCAGGTATGGTGGTGCACGCCTTTAATCCTACAAGGGAGGCAGAGGCAGGTGGATCTCTGTGAGTTCAAAGCCAGTCTAGTCTACAGAGTGAGTCTAAGACAGCCAGAGCTCTGTTACACAGAAAAACCCTATCTTGAAAAATCAAAGAGGAAAAAAAAAAATGAAGGATATTTAAAACAAAACAACAATAAAACCAACTTACCTAAAGAGATCAAAAATGGTGAGGTAAGTATAAGCAGTTAAAGCTGTGAAACAACGGAAAAACTCATTAAAATGTTGCTTAATCCATCCTTCTATTATTATTTTTTAAATGTATATATGTGGCCTTGGCTGAGTTTTTAAGCAACATGTACAGGCAGCAGTTTGAGAGGGCCAGAGGGTGTTGGTTCCCTGGAAGCAGAATGACAGATGATTCGCGTGTGTGCTGAGAATTGAACTCAGGTCTTCTGCAGACTGGTAGGCATTCTTAACTACTAAGCCATCTCGCCAGTCCTGTAAACTGTAAAAATTAAAGTTTCATTAGAATATACTAAAAAGTTGTGTCTTGCTGGGTGGTGGCACACACCTTTAGTCTCAGCACTTGGGGGCCAAAGATAGGTGGATCTGTGAGTTCCAGGCCAGCCTGGTCTACAGAGTGAGTCCAGGACAGCCACAGTTACACAGAAAACCTGTCTCAGAAAACAATAACAAACAAACAAAAGTTGTGTTTCATACCTGGCTTGAAAGGTTTTTCTTTTGTTTTATATTTTTATTTTTAAATGATAGATCATTAACAATGTCCAGTTAAGGGGCTAGAGAGATGGCTCAGAGGTTAAGAGCACTGTCTGCTCTTCCAAAAGTCCTGAGTTCAATTCCCAGCAACCACATGGTGGCTCATAACCACCTATGGTGAGATCTGGTGCCCTCTTCTCGAATATATGCATATATGCAGACAGAGTACTGTATAAATAATAATTAAATCTTTAAAAAAATTTCTTTTTCCAGGGGCTGGAGAGATGGCTCAGAGGTTAAGAGCACTGGCTGTTCTTCCAGAGGTCCTGAGTTCAATTCCCAGCAACCACATGGTGGCTTTCAACCATCTAATGAGATCTGGTTTCCTCTTCTTGCCTGCATACATGCAGGCAAAATACTGTATAAATAATAAATAAATAAATCTTTAAAAAAAATTCCAGTTAAAATAAGACTAGGGGGGTAGCTCAGTAGATAAAGTACTCGCCTAGCATATACAAAGCCCAGCACTGCATACAGGCAGCCATGGTTTGCAAACGCCTCTAACCCCAACCCCAGAGAAACAGAGGGAGAAAGGTGAGAAGCTCCAGGTAATCCTGGCTGTATAGTAAGGCCAGGACCACTGTGGGCTAAGTAAGAGTTTATAAAAAACAAAACCTTAAGTAATGTCCCATCAAATAAGTGAACTTTACTGTTCACAGGGATGTTTTAAATATATTCTTGTAAAAATCAATATAGGGCCAGCAAGATGGCTCAGCAGGGCACCAGCCCTTGCCACACCAAGCTTGACACAACTGGGTTTGATCCCACATGGTGGACAGAGAGAAACAATTTCCATAAGTTATCCTCTGACCTCCATACATGCTTCCTTCCTCACAAATAAATAAACTTAATAATACTCTTTTAAAAAGCAAGCATATGGGCCTAGAGAGATGGCTCAGTGGTTAAGCGCATTGGCCATTCTTCCAGGGAACCCAGATTCAATTCCCAGCAACCACATGGCAGCTCACAACTGTCTGTAAATCCAGCTCCAGGGTATCTGGAACCCTCATATAGACATACTTTTAGGCAAAACACCAATGCCTAAACACAACAAACAAACAGACAAGTAAATAAATAAATAAATAAATGCAAGCAAACAAACCAGAAAAAATTACGTAAATTATTTGAGTTACACACATTCCAGAAAAGTGCAAAATACATAAAGGAAAATGCACTGTCTTAGGGCTACCATTGCTGTGATAAATTGGAAAGGTTTATCTGGCATACACAGCGTAAATCACAGTCTACTGAGGAAAGGTGGGCCGAAAAACAGGCAGAAGCCTGGGGTCAGGCGATGATGCAGAACCCATGGAGGGTCTACTGGTCTCATCATGGCTTGTTCAACCTACTCTACGGCTTGTTCAACTATTTTCTTTCTTTTTTCCTTCCCTTCCTTTCTTCCTTCCTTCATTTTTTGTCTTGTTTTGTTGTTTGTTTGTTTTTGCTTTGTTGAGATGAGGTTTTTCTGTATAGGCCTGGCTGGTCTGGAACTCTCTATATAGACCAGGTTGACCTCAAACTCAGAGATCTGCCTGTCCCTGCCTCTGGAGTGTGGAGCACCAGGATTACAGGTGTGCGCCAAATGATCTTATTAGGTCCGATTTCTTATAGAACTCAGGTGGCACCATCCACATGGCTGTGCCCTCCCCAGTGGTCACTAATTAAGAAAATGCTCTACTGGCTTGCCTGTGGCCCAGTCTTACGGAAGCATTTCCTCCTCTCAATGACTATAGCTTGTGTCAGGCTGACATAAAGTTAACTAGCTCATACTGTTACTTAAAATCAAAATCAAAAGTGAAGCTGAGCCACGACAACCAATGGGCAACATACCTATGCTGTTAGTAGAGCTGCACCACATGAGTAGGAAGCCAGTGCACAGCACGTTGACTGCACCAAAAGCAAGGATCTTCCAGGACTGTGGGAAGGAAAGGCATGCCCGTTCATAAGGTGCTCACAGAGTTCACCAGATCTGTTCAAGCTGCTTACTTGACACCGATACAACACACACAAAACACAACTTGTACAAAGTGTGTCGTGTTTTCTACTACATCTAACAAAACTATCCATCAAGTTACTACAGTTGAGCAGGAGGACCATTTAGAGTAGCCCAGGCAACATAGCAAAACCTGATACACGCAACCCAACCAGAACATATATTTAAAAGTAACCATCTGAATAAAGCTACTTACTCAGGCAAGTCTCTATGCCAGGCATTGTTCTAGGCATGAGAGTAAAGCAGAGAAGAAAACATGGACCTACAACGTAGGCAGAGGGGCAATAAACAAGTATTTGGGTTAATGGTAGTAAGTACTAAGAAGCAATTAAAAAATAGGTGAAGAAGCCAGGTAGTGCACATATTTATCCTCAGCACTTAGGAGGAGAGCAGGCAGATCTGAGGTCTAGGACAGCCTGGGCAATAGACTGTGTTCCAGGACAGCCAGGGTTACATGGAGAAATCCTATCTTCAGGGACAGGGATGGGGATGGGAGGGTTGGGGAGTGGGCTGAGAAAACGGAAGATGGTGTGAAGAGGGCTCTTTCCAGACAGGTTTATCACAAAAGATTGTTAGTAAAGTGACAAGTAAACAGCCTCTGAAAGACTACAGACTCTAGAATGAGGAGAACTGGGAGAGAGAATGGAAGCCAGAGAGCTAAGGCCCCAAGTGACAAAGCCCCTAGTAAGGACAGCGAGAGCAGAGTGGAGGAGAGGGAGTCTGAGGCAACAGCCAGGAAACATTAGCCTGGGTTTGTCCCACATTCCTCAAAAAGCATTCTCCTGGGCATGTTGAGGTTCACCTGGGATCCCAACACTCAGGGAACAGAGGAAAGAAGATGGCAACCGCAGGCCAGCATGGGCCATACAGCAAGTCTGAGGAGAGCCTAAACTACACAGGGAGGCTTTTTCTCAACCCCTCCCTGCCTAAAGAAAGCAAAAGATCATTCTGGTTTTCCTGAGGCTTGAAAAAGCTAGGACATAGGAGGATATACTAAGGGTAAAATGCTGTACATTCACTAAAGACAGCTGGCAAATTTGTTGAAACTATCCATGTGAGGAACAAGTGACTAAACAAGAATGAAAATGATTCAAAAATTTTTCACTTTAACATGTGGAAGAGTATCCAGTTAATAAGCAAGTGACTGAAGATTAAGGTCCAGTCTTGACTATGCTGTGACTGAAATACCCATTAGCCATCTATGGGACATTGAGGAAATTGAATTCCATAAAGGAAGCAGAGAGGGGAGAAGTTAGGGCTTGAGATTTAAATACAGAGTCACCAACACAGGTGGCAAAGAAAACCAGGAAAGCATTTCTAGATGTGTCAAATCATAAAGGGGTTGGATCTCATACTGCAAAGTGCAGAAGTAAGAAAAGTGGTGAAGACAGCTGGAAGATAATAGACAAGTCAGTAGAAAGACAAGGGTTGTTTCAGAATGTACATAATGCTATGTTTTAAGGAGACATGACCAATTTTTGCCAAGTTAAAAAGGTCAAAAAAGATGAGCAAGGAGGATGAGTAGTGATTTTGGTAACACAGATTAACAGAGACACTGCTGTTTTCCTTTTAAAATTGTCAATTACTGGGCCAGTAAGATGGAACAAAGGGTAAAGGTGTTTTCCTATACCTCCAAATATGCACTGTGGCACACAGACACCCACACCCACAACCACACATGTTATCTAGAAATCTGGGGAACTGACTGAACCACAGAACTTCAACAAGAGAAGCACCCATGACTTGTCATCAGCTCACAGTGAGACAAGTCGGCAGGGTTAGTTAGACTCAGTAGCTCAGGGACAGGGACAGAGTAGGCTGAGTGAGAACTTTGTGGAGGGAAGGGGCACAAAGGACTTAGAAAATGATTTTTTTTTTTTTAATTTTGTCTGCACCTGGTGCTTGTGGAGGCCAGGAAGGGCATCAGATTTCCAGGGACTGAGAATTTCAGACTGGTGGGAGTTGCCACTCAGGTGCTGGGAACCTCCGGGAGAACAGCCAGTGCTCTCAACCTGAGTCACATCTCCAGTCCCTCAAAACTTATCCTCGCTTCAGTGCAATAATGTGGCTTTGCAGTGACTCAAACCAAGGTTGAAGAAGGACTTACCCTTCGGTCAGCTGCTACAAGTCTAAATTCCTGTAGTAACTTTCCAAAAAAGGATCTCTGTGGCTTTCGAAAGAGATGAATTGTCCCCTTTAAGGCAAACAAAAAATACAAATCAGCGTAAATATCTGTTGATGTCTAAAGCTCCTGGGACTGGATAGGGCACTAATAATAACTACATAGCAAACACTCCCTACAACGTCCATCATTTCTTGATTTAATACTTAACTAACCAAAGGAAAAACAAATCACTTTTGATAAGTAGCCCAACATCTCTGAGCTAGCCAACAGATAATCAGGAATTCAGAAGGAGGCATGTTAGCTCTGGATAAGGTCCCCTACATACTGCATTTTACCTATCAAAGCTAAGCAACTATTCAGTAAAACCTCTATGTTGTCTTTTAGGCATTCAGTCCAAGAATCTGAGATACTCTCCATTACCCACAACAGTATAGGGCTAGTGTGAGCACTAACTGTTTTCAGTAACTCTCAAAAGACCTCACTTTCCTAGTGCTGAAAATGTTATGCTCCTATGAAGTTTTCTGCCTAGGTTTCCAAAATAAAATATTTAGCTATGCTTCATGAGAAAATTCTGTTACTCCAAAAGCGATTATTTTGAAGGAAGAAGCTCCTTCGTGATTAATCATCAGGGTCACATGTCATAGTTTGATTGCTGAGAAGCACACTTAATTAGCTCCTTTGGTTTTAAGGCGGTGCTTTCCTGAGCAGTCAAGGTAGGGCCACTGTAACCATCACCCCACATTTCTACTGCACTGAGCTGAGTCACACACTGCTGCCGCTGAGAAACCGTGGCCCAAGGTGCGCTAGACATGGCGCACAGCCTCTCATCCAGTACTCAGGAGGCAGGCGGCTGCACCTCTGTTAGCGGGTCCACTGTGCGACCCTATCTCAAAACCAAAACTCAACCCAAAAGATCCAAGTGTGAAAAACCTTCAGGCTGAACTGAAGCAGACAAAACCTTCCCACCTTGTTAGTGATCACTGCGATAGCTACAGAACAGTTTAAGTCAGTCATAGGGATGTCCTTAGTTTCACTATGCTGAGACTAAGAAGGGCAAAAAGAAGAAAACAGCAGCCACCGTCACTACTGCCAAGTTCTAGAAATCTGGTCTACCTGCAGGCACATAATCACAGTAATAGGGAGCTGGACACAGGAAAATCAGAAGCTCATGGCTGTCCTTGGCTACACAGCAATTTTTGAGGTCAGCCTGGGCTATCTGAGACCTTGTCCCAAAAAAGAAATGTTGTTGATGAAAGGTAGCAGGTACTTTTGTGTGCCTAAATATTTTTGTAAAACGGTAAAGCAAACAATTGTTTTGTTTTTCCAAGACAGGCTTTCTCTGTGTAGCCTTGGCTATCCTGGAACTAGTTCTGTAGACCAGGCTGGTCTTGAACTCAAAGATCCTCCTGCCTCTGCTGGGATTAAAGGAGTGTACCACCACCACCACCCTGAAGGCAAATAATTCTTAAATGAAAAAAAACAAGGTATCAGAAAAATGTTGGTAACTTATCACTCCAAAGACCAATGTTCGTGTGCTCCAAAGGGCCTGCTAAGTTAACTCAATTTTTGTTTTTTCTTTCTTTCTTTCTTTCTTTTGAATTCAGAGGGATCTCCCACCTCTGCTTCCTCAATGCTGGGATTAAAGCCATTTGGCAGTACTCCAGGCTCTAATTCAGTGGTTCTCAACTTGGCTGTCCTGGACTCACTTTGTAGACCAGGCTGGCCTCAAACTCACAAAGACCCACCTGCCTCTGACTCCCAGAGTGCTGGGATCACAGGTATGCGCCACTGCTCCTGGCTGAAACACATGTTCTTAAAGACTTGTGTTGAAGAACTGAGGAGAGCACTACACACCAGTAATCCCAGAACTCAGGTAACCCCTAACCATAAAATTATAGTGTTATTTCAGGACTGTAACTTTTGCTAATGTTATGAATCACAGTGTAAATACCTGACGTGCAGGACATCTGATATATGACCCCTGAGAAAAGGTCATTCGACACTCTCAAAGGGGTCACAACCCACAGATTGAGACCTGCTGGCCTAGGGTATGTGCGAAAACCCCAATAAATTAAAGAAAGCAAGAAAACATGTATGGAATAATTTTGCCCCAAAATAAATGTTGCTTGATCACACTTTCTAGGGGAGCAAAGTATACTAGAACTAGGGAAGGCTGGGGAAACAGAAGGAAGAGCGGATTATGGACAAATGTTCAAACTATTAACATATTTGTGTGAAAATGTCCTTTTGTAACATAGTCCAATGAATATACAGAATGAAACACTATATTTATTAATAGATTTACTGATTTATAATTTATACAGTACTCTACCTGCATGTAGAAGGCACCAGATCTCATTATAGAAGATTATGAGCCACCATGTGGTTGCCTGGACTTGAACTCAGGACCTTTTTGAAGAGCAGACAGTGCTCTTAACCACTGAACTGTCTCTCCAGTCCCTAATGAAACATTTTAAATGATGTCTGACAGTGTGACACATGAGCCAGGTGTGGTACTGCATACCTTTATTCCCAGTGCTGGGCAATCAGAGGCAGTAGGATCTTCGTAAGTTTGAGGCCAGCCTGTTCTACATACTGATCTTTGGGATAAACTATGCAGAGGGACCCTGTCTCAAAAAACAACAAAGAGTGTGATTGTTGGATATTTGTTTAGCCTCCACCCATTAAAAAAAAAATTCTTTAAAATTTATGTATATGTGACAGGCGTGGTGGCTTATGCCTTTAATCCTAGCACTCATGGGAGGCAGAGGCAGGTGGATCTCTGTGAGTTCCAGGACAGCCAGGACTGTTACATAGAGAAACTTTGTCTTGAAAAACCAAAAATAAAAAGTATATGTTTCAGTGTGTGCACGTAGGATGCCTGTGGAGGTCAGGAGGCAGCATGTTCTTGGAAGTGAAGTTCCAAACTGTAAAGTGGTCTTAAGTGCTGGGTGATTCATCCTCCCCAGGTCATCCCATGAACTGAAATTACTTGACCATTTAGGTTGAGAGGGTTAACAGGTTTTTTAAAAGGCTGAGGATCACTTCTGATGCCACCCGGACACTGTGGAAGGTGCTGGAGAGATAGTTGAGTTGATAAAGTGCTTGCCACAAAAGCATGGGATCTGAGTTTGGAGCCTACTACCCACAGACGTGCCAAGTGCGACATTAACTATCACCCCAATGTTGAGGAGCTGGCAGCAGAGACAGGTGAATCACTGGAACTAATTTTTATTTGTTTGTTTGCTTGTTTGTTTGTTTTTGTGGCAAGGTCTCCCATGTAGCTCCAGCTGCCTGGAACTCACTCTGTAGACTAGGCTGGGAGTCACTTAATGAACACCCATAGACTGTCTGTCTCTGTCATCCAAATGTAGGAATCAAAGGCTAGTGCCAGCATGCCCAGTTGAAGCTTAAAACAATTATTTCTGTGTCTCGATGTTTTGCCTGCATATATGTCTATGCACCCCTGTGCATCTGCTACCTGCGGGAGCCAGAAGAGGGGGGTGAATCCCCTGGAACTAGAGTTACAGGTGATGTGAGCTACCATGAGTGCTGGGAACCTGGGTCCTCTGGAAAAGCAACTGGCATTGTTAACCATTGAACCATCTCTCCAACCACTCTTGGAAGTGTTTGGTAGGCAACCCAAGCTGTGACCCCCAAATGTGAAGGGGCAGGGCATGCAGCACATACATGCCTTTAATGCCAACAACTAGCAAGACAGGGGTAGGAGGATCTCTGAGTTTGAGGCAAACCTGGCCTGACTACATACTGAGAGCCTGTCTCAAAATAAGTAGATCACTAATACTGTAAAAAACAAGGATGTGAAGGGTGACTGAGGAAGAGCCCAATTTCCAGCTCTGGCTCACATGCACACACATGAACAGGTACATATAGGACATACATACAATAAGAGGAGAGCAAATGAAGACACCAAATACTGACCTCTATCCTCCACATTCATCCACATACACACAATGCACGCGTACACAGAGTAAATGGAAATGGGAGAAAATGTCTGAGAAGTTAAAAGGACCATTTCATGTTTCATCTTTGATATGCAGTCTTCCTGGATTATTCCAAACTACAGTGCTTCCATGTTGTTCCTTTTGCAGTTTAACTATAGGACAATCATCCTGTCACCTTGTGTCATTAGTTAATCTTTAGTAACTTTACTAATGCTAATAGTTATACTTTCTTCACATTTTCTAAGAAAGCACCATATTTTCCCACAGAGCATTATCTTCATAAGAACACGAAAGTCACAAAATCACTTCCTTATAAACCTTAAAATAGACCTTAGCAGATGACACAAGTATAAGGTTCGGTCTCCAGAACAATCCTGTAAATCTACATATATACATCTCAAATACTATTATTTCACTCTGATGTTCTACCCATAACAAACTAGTTTGTCCATTTGTTCAGTGCTTTTTTAAATTTTTATGCTTTGCTGGTAATGAGTGGGCTGTGTGCTCTGATGGAGACAATCCAGTAACCTAGAAATTCAGCACATTTATTGAATGCAATCAACAGAGGAGGAGAATCTACTCATGGAAGGGTGTTTCTATTCCAACAGTCCCAAACAGCAATAATTCTAGAGAAGGAAACTGGTTGATATTTTCTGCACAGAGGCAACAACCATTTTCCGGATCAGGGGAGGACCCTGCATTTCCAGGGTTTCTCAGACACTGAGGTGCTTGGCATATGCTCATATCAGCAGTGTAATTCACTCAGGATTTCGTCAATTCCCACTATGAGGTTTTCATTTACAGTTCCATCATTAACCTTACCCCATTTGGCGCTGGAAAAGGGCAACCTTGGATTTCCAGGTCATAGACAAAACACAGAATAACAGAATTGGTTTCTATTAAAAAAGACTCTCAAGCTGGGCACAGTGGCACATGCCTATAATCCCAGCACTGTGAGAGGCAGAGGCGAGCCTGATCTACAAAATGAGTCCAGGACAACCAAGGCTACACAGAGAAACCCTGTCTCGAAAAACCAAAATCAAACCAAAATAACAACAGCAAAAACTCCCTTGGCCTTTGGCCCTGAGTATATCCAGGTGCTCGGGACAAAGCTGTTTAAGTATGTCCATCAGTAGTTTAGCCATGTCATTACAGCACTCCAGAGGGGCAGGGTACAGCTCCTGGGTCAGCTGACTCACCTCGGCTGTGTGGTGCAGAAATTGCTTCAGGACAGGCAGAGTTTATACTGCAGAAACTGACCTTGGCTCAGGGCAGGCAGAGGGGCACTGAACTGAGAGTGCCCCATCCAACACCCCATTCAACTTCAGGGTTCGCAGGGTATCTCTAACTCAAGAAGAAGCGCAAGAGGCTTAAGATATAAACCTCTTCAATAAATATGTAGCACTCAGGTGCAGATGTTTGAGCTGGCAAATGTTCAGGAATTGGGGCAGGTAATCCAAGAATGGATGTGAGAAGGAACAATAAGCAATGAACAGGGTCTCCAAGCACCTGAGCCCCTTTGTCAGGTGACCTTGTAGAAAGGATGTGTTATTTAAACAGAGATTCTGGAGACAGTGGGGTTTGGGAAACTGAGATACCAATGTGCTTTTTCTGTCAAGCTCTTTAGCATCATCTACAGTGCAGAGTGAAGTTAAATTTGAGGGTAGCTGGCTAGAGTGTGTGAAGATTTTTAATCTGCACCAGGTAAGGCTCAAGAGCATCCTCAACTTCAGCTCCTGTATACTGCCTGGATCTACAAATCTGAAGATTCCTATGAAAGTGGGGTTGGCTGAGTCCCAAATCTGCAACTTTCTACAGCATAGGTGAATGAAATGTTTCCGCTGATGCGCCCACTGCAGCAAGGATGCAGCACAATTACTGAGCTTGCCCCTCATAAATCTGAGGTCGGCTAGCACCTTCAAACAATACTTGACCCCAGAGTCAGGACAGTTCTCCACTGGCTGCTTCTGGGTCACGGCCGGCGGTGGGCAGTCACCTTTGTGGGATCCAGCCCTCTGCTCCAGGAGTCACGGTTCGCGCTCTTCAAATCGAGCACTCTGATTTGCACTTGGAGCAAGCCTTCTGTGCAGTCAGTCCATCCAGTCCATCCAGCACAGCCTTCAATATTTCCTGGTGGGGATTCTTTACCAGGGCTCCCAAGCTATGGAAAGAACCAGGAGGGTACCATGGCCCTCAGGGTATTTGTGTGTCTGTTGGTGAAGGGCTCCTCAAACATCACTGGGATGATCTCCTTGGGCAGGTTCTCCAGAGCAGAAATGGCCAAGGCCTCCTCCCTCAGCACTGTCTTGCCAGTTACAGAAGAGTGGGTGGGGCCTGGTCTGCCACTGTGGCTGATTTTTAAAGATAATGAGGCTGATGTGAACAGGGTAATAGGTCTCCAGATCCCAGCAGGGGTAGGTAGTGATTCCAAGTGCTTCAGGCTCCAAGCCTCTGGTCAGTGGTTTATAAAACAGGTATTTATAAATATGAAATTGTTGCTTCGCTCCCCCAGATTCCACAGGGTAGTATGAGAGGACAAAGGATATTAAAAAAAAAAATGTCAGGGTACTGTACATGATTATATGAGGGCTGGGTGGGGGGCGAGAATGACGGACCAGTCTGATTCCATCATAGGGTAAAAAGCCATTTTTTTTTTTAATAAGAATAAGTTTTTTCTATTTAACACAAATTTCAAGTTTGACTCACATACACTCTATGTTTATGAGGATAAAGTGCTCAGCTGGTAAAGAGCTTGCCACGGAGGCATGAAGACCCAAGCTTGGAGCTGCAGCACCCTGGTAAAGAGCCTGTAATCAGGACAGGGAGAGCAGAGATAGGCTGTAGAGTAAGTAACTCATGGTAGAGCATATGCCCCAAATGCTTGAGGCTGCAGGTTTGGTCCCCAGAACTGCAAAAAGTAAGATCCCTAGGACTTGCTGGCCAGCCAGTCTAGAACACAACTCCAAGTTCAAGACCCTGTCTCAAAATAACATGGGGGGAACAAGCAAAAAAAGTGAAACACAATTAAGGCAGGCACCTGACACTGACCTCTGGCATCCACACTTAAGTACACATCACACTGATAAGGATGAGAATAAGAAATGGAGAATGCAGACAGATGGAAGAGCATATGCAAATTAGGTGCAAAGGTCCAATTCAAACAACAGTCTGCAAGCTGCTCACTGTTGCTACAATATGGATACTGTGTATGTTTATTTATTTTTAAAGCTGGAATAACTGAAGGTTACCTGATTACTGTCCCTCCCCACAAAGAACAAAATTTTACACCTTTCCCCTTTTTGTTTTCTGAGACAGAGCTTCTCTGTGTGGTCCTCCTTGTCTTGGAACTTGCTCTGTAGTCTAGGCTGGCCTACAGCCCAGAGATGTACCTGACCCTGCTTTCAGAGAAATGGGATTAAAGGCATTTACCATGACTGTCTGGTTTATTTTAACCATTTTTTTTTTTCTGTCTGCAAAGGCTTTCTGAAATTTTATGAAACTACCGTGTGAGATTCCCCCTCCCCCAAAGGCTAGAAGTTAAGAGCACTTACTGCTCTTACAAAGGGCAGGGGTTAGCCAGGCAGTGGTGGCACAAGCCTGTAATCCCAGCACTAAGAGGCAGGCAGGTCTCTGTGAGTTTGAGGCCAACCTGGTCTACAAAGTGAGTCCAGGACAGCCAAGGATACACAGAAAACCCTGTCAAAAAAACAAACAAACAAACAAAAAAACCCAAAAACAAAAACAGAGGACAGGGGTTCAGTTCCCTGTGCCCACATGACACTTAGAATACTTTGTAACTCCAGTTCCAGGAGATTCGGCACCCTCTTCTGAACTCCCCAGGTACCAGGCACACACTTTGTGCACCAAAATACATGCACACAAAACATCCATATACAATATTTAAAAAAAGAGAGAGAGAGAGAGAGATGGCTCAATACTTAAGAACACTACTTATTGTTCTTCCAAGGACCCAAGTTTGACTCCTAGCACCCACAAGTGCTCACAACTGCCAATAACTCCAGCCGCAGGGGATTTTCCCCACTCCTGCACTCATGTGCACATACCTACACAATTTAAAATAAAAGAAATTATTTAAAAGACCTTCACTAAATTTTTTTTATATAACTTTAAAGTATTTTAATTTTAATTTTTTTTTTTTTTTTAAATCTCCAAAGAAGGAAACTTTATGGTGGTAAGAGTAAAAACAGGAATGTGTCATGGTCATATGTAAGCTACCAATAAGGGCTCAGTGAGTTTTTGTGACTCTTTCAAAGGGTGGCCCTCATTCTGACACCTGCTCACCTTTACATAAAATTAAGAGATTCATGTCTAACTTCTGTGATTTGTTGTTTGGTGTGTGTGTGTGTCTATTGTTTCCATAGTCTCTATGTAACTCAGGCTGGCCAAATCCCAACCTCCCTGCCTCAGTTTCCTGAGGTGTAAGCCACAGGAGTGTGCCGTTACACTGTTTAATATAAGAACTACTTAGCCTAATTATTTTTAAGGAAATCATGACATTCCAAAAACCATAGCGTACACTAGAACCCTTTACTTTCTGTAGCCGCCGGTGCTTCATGGAGGATGTTTTAGCGCCAACACTGAAATGCAATAAACGCGTGAACACCGGCCCTAAAACCCTGCTCCAAGCCGCCACGGTGTTGACTTGTAGTTTTTAACATCAGGAAAATCTCGGATCACCAGCAGTACAGGCACGGCGCGGGAGCCCTTAAAAAGACCAGAGCCCCGGGGGCCCGTGCGTGAGCAGCCTCTCCTCCCTGCAGCGCAGCCCCGTCGCCCCGAAGAGCGGCTGCGGCACAGCACGTCCCTCCGGCGGGGGGGAGGAGGAAGAACCCCGCAAGGAACCCGCGCCCCCGACGGCCAACTCACCATGGTAAGGAGCCGGCCAGCTCCCGCCGGAAGACGCCCTGGGAGCTCGCTTTGCCCAAGCGGAAGGGGCGGGCCGTCGGGGTCCGATTGGCTGGAGGGACGGCCTCTTCCGGCCACCGGAGCCTGTGGAGAAGTGGGCGGGTCGCGGCTGTGCTGGGCAGGCCTGCTCGCGTCGGGGAGGAAAAGGGTGGGAGCTCTGTGGGTTGTTCAAATGCTTCTGCCTGTGTGTGGCTTTATCACATTGGTGTCCTGTTTGAAAAATGAAGAAGTCGGAACATTAGGAAATGTCACAGTAGCCGGGCGCGGTGGCACATGCCTCCAATCCCAGCATCTGGGAGGCAGAAGCAGGAGGATCTCTGTGGGTTCGAGGCCGGCCTGGTCCGCAAAGCGAGTCCAGGACAGCTAAGGCTACACACACAAACCCTGTCTCGAGAAACAAAAAACAAACAAAAAGAAAAAGAAAGAAAGAAAAGAAATGTCACAGTAAGGTCGGGTGAATCCCTGTGAGTTTGAGGCCAGGATCGTCTACATAGACTTGACCTATATCAAAATCCATGTATCAAATTCTCAACTCAGTTTCATTAAAAATAATGTCGCAGAAAGCGCTTGTCTTAAAAGCAAAGACTCGGGTTAAGTCCCAGTACTCAGGAAGCAGAGATGGGTATATCATCAGCGACCCTATTTCAAAATCCAACCTTAAGTATTGAAAGATCCCCGGAGGGTATCTTCCGTCAGAGAGACCCCCTCCCAAAGAACAACGAGTCCATTCGGATGCAAACAGCAAGAGGCTTTTATTTTGATTCACGAGTACTCGGGGCAGCAAGGTCACTCGGGAGGACCCTGCGCGTCTCCTTGGGGAAAAACTGGGGTTTTTATAGGGTTTTAGAGCAGAAGCACTGGTACAGAAGCGAGAGGGCATGGTTATAGGGGGCTGATTGGTACGTTTACACGAGACCACGATTTGCGTCAAAGTTTGGCAGGGGCACCAAGATTCCAGGAACTGGGTGGTCAAGGGGGGTAGGATGACCCCTTGACGTGGCCCGCCACCTGTTATTTTGTTTTTCTCTATCTTAGCTGAAACAGTCTCACAGATATCTATGAGAGTGATTAACACAAACTGTTTTTAGTATGACTGGGGCAGCCTGACCACAGATATCCCAAGTGGGTGACACAGCTAGGATTTTTCAGTAATTTTCCAGTTTCTCATCTGGCCTTCAGAGTTTTACAAAACAGTGGTGTCTCACAAAATGGCATTAGCTATGTTTAACTTAGTGTGAGGCTGGGGTCTTTCAGTATGACGTTGTTCTCTGGCCTCCACGTGCACTTCGCTGGCACACCTCACTAGTCAGGGCGCACTATCGCTTGGTGTAGTTCCAACACCGGAGACTGAACTACACAGCAACACCCTGTCCCCAAAACCAAAACGGATTCAAAACAAAACAACGAAAACCAAGGAAACAAACAAACAAACAAAAAGCACACAAGGGCTGAAGAAAAGGTTCTGCGGTTAAGAGAGCAGACTGCTCTTCCCGCAGGTTTGATGTTCAGCATCCACATGGCTGCTCGAGTTTAAGAGAATCTGACACCACCACGAGGTGGGAGAGCCCTTCCGTATGCCGAGTGACACGCAGAGGTTCAGTTGCCTAAACTGAGTGCAGAGCTGTAACCCTGTAGATTCGGTGACTGAGGTAGGACAGGCATGTTTGGGCTTTAGAGTAGGCTCACTGTCAGCCTCCCCAATTTAGTAAGCTCATCTCAACCTTAAGGAAAAGAAGCTATACAAAGCAAAAATGTGCTGCACTCTGTGTGGTACCTGCTTTAGAGGATGTGGCAGGACACTGAATTCAAGTTACATTCAAGTTACCAAAAATACATGAGAGGGATTTGTTAGGAAGAACAGTTTCAGTTGGAGGAAATGAGACAGGACTAAAAAAAAAAAATTCATATATGTACACACATATATATTTTCAAGACAGGCTTTCTGTGTAGCCTTGGCTGTCCTGGACTCTCTTTGTAGACCAGGCTGGCCTCGAACTCACGGAGATCCACCTGCCTCTGCCTCCCCGAGTGTTGGGATTACAGGTGTGCACTACCATGTCTGGCTATAAAATATTTTTAAAAATCTGAAACATACCTCAAGTCATATCTGTTTCACAGGCTTGGTGTGGAACTCAGAATACCTGGGTTTGAACTTAACATACTCTGGTTTATTCCCTGGCATATCATTTTTTAAATCTCTATAGTTTCTTTTTTATACAGTATTGTTATAGAAAAATAAGACAGTAGTCTATAGACTATATTTGGAGACCTTATCTGTTATGCACCGACCTTCCGGAAATTGTATTCTAGTAAGAGACAAATGCAGGAAGAAAAAAAAAAGCTATTTGTAATAGTATAATGTCAAACATAGGACAACGTTCTAGGTATGGTGCATCACATCATGCCTTTGATCCTAGGAATCAGAGGCAGAGGCAAGTAGAGTTCTGTGAGTTCCAAGCTAGCCAGAGCTTCATAGTGATACCCTGTCTTTAAAAGAAAAGGGGGAGCGGCATTGTGTTATAAAGACTGACTGGTAATTAAATCATAGTGGTCATAAAAGGGTTTTAAGCATTTTGTGTGCTGCGGTGTCTGCAAAGGCCAGAAGAGGACATTAGAAGCCTTGAAGCTGAAGTTCAAAGGTATTTGTCATCTTCTATTTTTTTTTTTCCAGAGCTGAGGACCGATCCCAGGGCCTTGCGCTTAGCTAGGCAAATGCTCTACTGCTGGTCTAAATCCCCAACCCCCTAAAAGGTATTTGTGAGTCATCAAATATGGGTGGCTGGGATTCGAACTCCGTCCTCATGATTTAGCAGGAAGGACTCTAACCTCTGAGACATCTCTCCAGCCCCTCAGAAAAGTTTCTTCAAGGTGAGATTCAATTCTGAATGATAAGCATTCTTGGAAAATGATTTTTTTTTTCCCTAGGCAGGATAAACTAAAACAACTATCTCATTGAAAAGTGTATTTTAGCCTTGTGTAGTGGCACATGCCTGTTATCCCAGCACAGGGAGGCAGAGGTAGGTGGATTACTGTGAGGGTGAGGCCAGCCTGCTCTAGAAAGCAAGCCCAGGACAGCCAAGGTTACACAGAGAAACCTGTCTCAAAAACCAACAAACAAAAAACAAAGGTGTATTTTAAGACAGTTGGTGGTGGCACATGCTTTTATTCCTAGCACTTGGGAGGGAGAGGCAGGAGTATCTCTGAGTTCAAGGCCAGCCTGGTTCATAGAGGGAGTTCCAGGACAGCCAAGGCTACACAGAGAAACTGTTTAGAAAAAGAATCAAATACAATGCAACAAAACAAAAAAGCCAAAAAAATTAAACTAAGAAAGAAAAGGTGTATTTTGAGATCTAAAAGCTGGAAACATATATACCATGGTAAAATATGGATCATAAATTCACTGGAAAGTGTAGTGATTGATTTACACAACTGTAAAGTCAAAGAATGGTGGCAAACTATTCTGAGTTAGGACCCATTTAAGTTAATCTTTTTTAATGCGATTATGTCTCAGGCAGCTCATGCTGGCCTGAAGTCACTATGGGGTTAATGGTGACCTTGATCCATCTACCTCTACCTCCCAAATGCTTAGGATTACAGGAAAAATACAAACACAACTTATTAAAATGTTTCAAGGGTATGCTCCACAGGAAACAGGTGCAAGATAAACCCAATGAAACTCCAACACAAGCAAATCCTGTTTAGACCCCTTAGATTGAGATACAATTGCTGAAAAATACAGACTCTTTTCCACCGTTCTGTTTCACAGTTGTAATTCTTGACTGGTTGCCCATACTTCAATAGCTCATCATCGTAGATGACCTCTCAGGCCACCCGGTCTGACACCCAACTGTGGACTACTACAGGAACCATGATTTGAACTTCAGTAAGAGAAAACATCGGGCCCCAGACTGTCCTCGTTAGAAGGTCTCGCTTTAAAGCTAGCTCTTGGTTGGTGGCGTAAATGTAGATGTGAAGCCAGCTCACCCCTGTTTCCTAACAAATAGTCCACTGTTGCTGGAAAAACTAAAATTTGCGTTTTACAGATCCTGTGGCTCACTGAACTTAAAGTCTGTTGAGATCTTTTGACTATATGGGGGCTTCAGGCATCACATTTTACCTGTTTCTCAGGTGCATTATTTTCCTCTTCTCCTGAACCCCAAGTCACAAGTACTGACACTATCTTATTGTCACAAACCTTTCTTATGGTCCTGTTCAGTCTTTCCTATGATTGGCTTAGCATTAAAAACTTTGATAGGATGCTTACCTCAGTTACCTTCGGTTGTCAGATTTTCCTGAGTTCGTAATTTGTATTTCTCTGCCGAAAACTAGGATCTGGTGTCCCCTTTCTCTGAGTTAGTCAGCATTTTCAAGGCTTCTAATGTTCATGTATCTTGATTGTAGGTCAGGTAACTTTCTTTTGGATACTTAGATATTACTGTGTATCTGACCTCGGGTTATATTGTGGAAACTCTGGATTCTGTTTTCTCCTACAGAAAGTTGTGTCGACCCCTTTGCTGTTCTACCTGAGGAGTCACCATGAGCAAGGCCCATCCTTCCAAACTGAAGAAATTCGTGGACAAGAAGTTACCATTGAAGTTAAATGGTGGCAGACACGTACAAGAAACATACAGCCTTTGATCCTTTTATGAATCTTGTGATTGATGAGGGTGTGGAGACGGCAACTAGTGGCAACAGAATAACATTGGAATGGTGCTAAAGTAACTTATTTGTCTGAATTAATTCTCATCTTGAAGGCTTACTGCCTGTCTGCTGAGGCCTAGTCCTGGAAGCTTCTAATCTGGACCTAGAGTGTTTTCAGGCTCTGAAATTTGCTGCTAAATAAACTCATGCTTTCTAGCTCTTTTGAACTCTCGCTGGCTGGTTCAACTCAGTTGTTCTGGCTCAAACTCCTAGCTAACTAATCTTCTGGATCCTTCTCTGGCCATTTTTTTTTTCAGCCAGTCTCTGTAAAACTCTCCTGGTCAAACTGCCTATGAATTCCACAAACTCAACACCATTGCCCTGCCTCTCAACTTACTGACTCAACCAAACTGTCTCAACAGCACTGTCTAGAACTCAAGAAATCTGCATGGCTGTCTTCTTAGTGTTGGTATTTAAAGCATACCTCCACACCTGGACCTAAGCTTCTCTTTACCAGAAACTGTTTCTATACCAGCCTGGCCTTGAACTCAAGAGATCTGCTTGCCTCTCTTTCCTGGGATTAAATGCATGTCTTTTTCTTTTTTTTTTTTGTGTGTGTGTAGAGGGAGTTGTTTTTGTCTTTTAAGTTTTAGTTACCTTTATTTTATGTACATTGATATTTTGCCTGCATATCTATGTAAATAGAATATCAGATCTTGGAGTTACAGTTGTGAGCTGTCATGGGGGGGTGCTGGGATTAGAACCCAGATTCTCTGGAAGAGGAGTCAGTTCCCTTAACCACTGAGCCATCTCTCTAGAAACCCTGTCTCAAAAAACAAAACAAAACAAAACAAGGCACTTCTGTATTCCAGCCAGATCACACAGACCTAGTTCTTTGGATGTGATCTCTTGCCAGAGCAGCCACGTTCTGAATTAAAATTCCTCTACAGAATGATGGTCATCCGAGGAAACAGCATCACGTTAGAAGCCTTGGAAAGAGTCTAAATGGCTGTTCAGCAGAGGCTTCCACCTTCCTATCCAAAGGGCCTGTTTGTGATGTAGAATTAGATCATGTACATTTTCATATGAAACTTTTTGCTAAAGTTTTGTGATGTTCAAAAGTAATCTGGATTTAAACTATTAAAAGGATAAACTTGACACTGTGAAGTTAGTTTTCATCAGAGTTTCTGTTCATTTTGTCCTTAGAGTTTCAACTTTCAGTTTCAAAACTCTACCCTCAAACAGCAGTTTCCCTGTGCACTCTTTACAATCTCTTTTGTTGCTGTTGTTCCTGTGTTTGGTTTGGTTTTGAAACAGGTTTTCTGTGTAGCCCTCCCTGGCTGGCCTAGAATGCTCTATGTCTGTGTTTCTCAACCTGTGGGTCATGACACCTCAGGGTCACCTAAAACCATCAGAAAACAGATATTTACATAACAATTCCTAACAGTAGCAAAATTACAGTTATGAAGTAGCAACAAAAATAATTTTATGGTTGGGGGTCACCCCAGCATGAGAAACTGTATTAAAGGGTCACAGCATTAGAGCTACTGTTCTATGTAGAACAGGTTGACCTCAGAACTCAAGAGCTCTGCCCACTTTTGCCTCTTGGGTGCAGGAATTAAGGACATTCCCCATCATGGTAGGCTTGTTTGTTTTGTGAGACAGGCCTGAGTCAGTAGTGTGTGGCTGGAGATTACTATGTAGCAGTTAGCCCTGAATTTGCATTCCTCCTCTTCCTTCAGCCACCCAAAGGCTGGGAGTACAAGATGTGCCACTATCCTCAATTTGGCCAGGTCTTTGGACTTTGCTATCTGCTGGGTTCCTTTGAATATCCTGCTAGACAGGTAAAATTTTGTAAAGTTCCAAGGACTTAAAAGGAATCTGCAGATAATGGGGGTTAACTTACTCAACACCTTCCAAGATTTCCTTTCTCATTTCCAGGGATTTCAGAAGCCTGAAATACCCAATCTGAACAAGTCAGCTACATTCTGCTTGAATTTTATTTTCAAATGAACAGCACAAGCTGGCAATGGACACGCCGAGGACTCTCCAAACAGGAATTTATGCACTTTCTGACTAGTCTGGGTTGCTCTCCAAAACCTTCTATTCATTGCTTTGTATATTTTGCTCAGTTTATTGGCACAAGAGTTACAAAATACTCCATGAAATTGTAGCCTCTGAAATATCAAAGATTCAAACTATAAAAAAATTAATTAAGGCAAAACAAAGTTTGTCATTTATTTACAATATAATTAATTAGGATAAAAACCCACTTTATGCAGCTGTACGGACCCTTTGTCATTTCATTTGCAGAAGTAAAAATACTAAAACAGACAAACATTTAAAAGGAAGATCTTCTGACTTAGGAAACAAAAAGCAAACTGTAAGTAGTTCATTCTATCAAAGAATTAGTTTGTATGACATATAAACAATTTTACATTATAAACAAAGATTGCCACATATATTTAACGTAAATTCTGTTTGTCCTATTAAGACAAAAATAAATTCAATGGGCATCTAGTCTCAGAGAAGCTTTGTAGCCCTAGCAGATCTGGAAAGATTGTATTGAGTCTTTCCTTTGGCTCAGTTAGGTGATCAGTGAGTTCACCGAGCTTACAAGGACTCTGTCACGTTAACATGAAGAACATACCAATCATTACTATTTAAACATTATTTTGAACAGATTACAGAGCTCAACATAAAATGTGAAATTAATATTAACTAAATTCTAATTTAATTTGGAAAACCCTAGCAATTTCAATTTTACTGAAAAAGAACAAACCTCCAGGTGTGGGGTGCACACGGCATCCCCAGCACTTGGGAGGTGGAGGCAGAAAAATCAGTTTAACATATTCATAGGCTACCCACTGAGTTCTAGGTCAGCTTAGTCTCCAAGAGACCCTGTCTTAAAGACAACAAAATGGCCTAAAATGTACCTGGATCATACAACATTACAGAAGATGTTCTCTTGACACTAGCTGAACCTCTAGCCTTCTATACACTGATGGACAGTCACACAATAATGCCTTTGACTTAGTATTTTAGGTTAACTCGATCCTGAAAATTTTGTTAACTCCTAAAACCCCTCCTGAAAGAAACTAACCATGATTTTAAAGGTTCTTCTATTTAAGTACTGAGATGAAGCCCATCTTAATACATAATAGTAGTAATGTTATTAGTCCCTTCCTAAATGAAAGCAAAAGGTAGTTTTAAGAGCTTTATTGTACATGTTTTGAGTTAGGACTGCTGGTCTTCTCGTCACCACAGGCTGGCATTATCAGTATTTCGTAACTGATGCTTTAACATTTGAGACCTTAAAAAAGGATACCACCCAGAACCAAAAATATGCACAGCTTTGGTTTAAATTTGTTTTCCTATTGATCTAAATTTTTCATTTTTATCATTCAGGGATGTCTGAAATCACGATTAAAAGAGACATGATTTAAATTACAGCTAAAACCAGAGTGTGATTCTAAGAAATAATCCATCTTCTACGTGTAGATAGATCTTTAACAAGACCAAGGGTAAAACTGAAGATTATGTCTTTATGATAAAATTTTTATCTGGGGAGAGGGCAAGTGTTTTAGTGCATTTTCTTACATGAAAAGTTGGTGTTACTACCACAAAATTATTCTTTCTACCCATGATATTTTACACAGCATCATTTAAGCACCAAGGAAAAATTCTGTAAACAAACTTTTAACCAGTAAACTAATGGCAAATATTTGCCTTTATACAATTCTTAGAAGGCCTCCCATGAGCCTCTACGTCCTATGATGCATTTTTATAATAAAAGTGTAGCCATATTTATACAAACAATTACTATACATTTTATGGAAACAAAAGGTAGATCAACAGACTAGAGTTTTTAGTTAAAAAGTAAGCACAAGAAACCTATAAAATATATGCCATGTACAAAAATTCCGTATTTAAAGTTTCATAGAAGGGACTGTAATTAGTAAAAGATGGTAGTGTCACCGGCATTTAATTATCTGTAAACAGTAAGAAAGTAATAAGCAATAAACTACAAATGTCTTACCTCCTAATATGTCCCTTCTCTCACACTGGTGCCTCAATTTATAACAGTTAAAATTGGCTCTCTAAAATATTAGAATAACTTCAACAAAAAATGAATTCTACATGGAACAAGTTAAGTCTACAATGAATTTCTGACATATTGGGGCAAAAAAAATACTGCAGGGCACACAGGCCTGATCTACATGTGACATGACAGAGTGACTCAAACCATCAAACCTCTGTTGTGCCAGATTTTCTCTGTTGCTATTATATTGCTTTCTAAACTGTTTGGCAGCAAAGCAATAAAATAAAAAAAAACAAAACATGAGGAGAAACACATTAGCTGTTTAATGTTTGTATATCTAGGTGGCAAAGAACCTCAGTATAGCTCTTCCTTACTGTAGATGGGAAAAGATTTCCATTTGGCACACTGGAGTTTGTAAGAAAAGCAGAAAAGATCGCAGAGTGCTTGGTATTCCAATTACAGGGAGCTAAGGTAATAGTAGGAAAGGAAGACAGAAAATAGACTGCTGCAAAAAAGAAAAAAAAAATTAGGAGACAGACAACAGAAGGCTCTTGTGTCTTCTACCATTCACTGTCTCTGGAATACTTTCATCTGAACACAATATACAAATTATTATTTACATAATGATTATTATCAGTAATGAGCCAGAATCTACTTTTGCTGTGCTCTAACAGTGCCCACTGAGAAAACCATGACCATCAGGCAAAAGAGCCTTAAGCAGAAATTCCATTCACACTGCATATTTTATTTAGGTCTGTCTTCTTATTCCTCTTCAAGTCTGGTACACAAAAATGAAAACTCTAAAAAGTCCTGTAAACGAAGTCTGAGTTCCTGGAGCTGAAAACTTGTTTGAAGCTCATGTTTCTTGCTGAGGAGTATTCTGTGGGCTTACAAAGGCATTTGTTCCTTTACACAGTGGTGTCTCCAAAGTCCTTGTTCCAGCGTATGTATGCTTCTAAGGTCTGAGGACTCACACTGCGTTTTATCTTTTTTAAGGATTCTGTGAAGTCAGATAATCGAATATTTCTCATCTAAATTAAAAAAAAAAGAGATACAGAAATGACGAAAACATACATAGTGAACAACAGGTTAAAATTGAAGTTTGTTAATTTTATAACAGATATAAACATATTCTTAGAAAATTATGCTAATCATTAATATACACATGTACCCACACACACTTTTTTGTTGTTGTTTTTGTTTTATTCAAGACAGGGTTTTTCTGTGTAGCCTTGGCTATCCTGGATTCTCTTTGTAGACCAGGGTGGCTTCAAATTCACAGAGATCCACCTGCTTCTGCTTCCCAAGAGCAGGGATTAAAGGCGTGTGCCACCATGCCCCGGCTTTCAATGTATTTTTATATTACATACTAAGCAAGTCTGCTTTATAAGACACCTTACAAAAATGTATGCCATGTACTCTTATTACTTGTATTTAGCTTCATAGACATTAATACTTCAAAGCATATTTTTTCCTCACTAAAAGAAAAAAAAACATTCATTAGAGAAAAATCTTACAAAATACAAATGGAAAAAAATACTTAATTCTCCCACTGGGAAGAATAACTGTAGGGATCTGAGTAAGAATGGCCACCATAGGCTCATATATTTGAATGCTTTATCTGCAGTTGGTAGAACTGCTTCAGAAGGACTAAGAGGTGTGGCCTTGTTGGAGGAGTAAACTCTCAGCTACTGCTTCAGTATCATGCCTGTCTGCGCCATGCTGGTCACAGCTGTTGTTGCTTTTCTAAGTTACTTTGGTCATCGTACTTTGCTACAATAGAAGAGTAACTAGGACAACAACCAAAATTTACTTTATTTTTAGTTTTTTCTTTCCATAGTTTCATAAGATTACACATTGGTCACCTTCTATTTACCAGAAGCAAATCTGCTAGGTCTGTGCCTGGTTTATCACAAAGGAAAAGGAGTTGGTAACAACAAACATGAAAAATTTAAGGAAATGCTGCCTTTTAACAGCATGAAGGTGCTGGCATATGAACCCTCCCACTATTTTTATTGCAGGGGACCAAACACAACGCCTTACCATGCTAGGGAAGCATTCTATCACTGAGCTATACCCCGAGCCCCACACAGCGATCCTTCTAACATGTTGAATCAATTTGCTGTAACTTTTATTCAGTATTTTCATAACTTGATGAGAGAAAATGACTGTACATTTTTAATCATTACCAGAAAATAATAATAATTTTTTTAGGTCTTACTTTTAAACAAAGTTAACTCTCTTGTTTTAAATTAAACAGACTAGAAAAAAATTATGAGTCTTGTAGAGGAGCCAAAAGAAAAAAAAATTAAAAAATAGCATATACCTCACTGGCAGACATATTCTTCACCTGCTCTGGTTTCAGTTCTGTAAAACATAAATCAGACACTTTAAAGAACATTTTGAAGTTTAAATTTCTTTTTTGTCTTGTTTTTTTTTTTTTATATGAAAGAGATTGATTGGGTGGAGGTGTAGAGAGAGATGGAGCGTGCGCGTGAGAGAGACAGACAGATAGACAGACAGACAGATATACATGGTGGAGGGCCCCAGGAGAGAAACTGAGGCAGAGAGTGCAAGTTTACATTTCTTACTGGCAAATATTAACTACAATGATCTAATGGTACCGGTGTAATACAAACCATTAAAGTCGGGACATTCACATAAAGAATTCATAAAGTTTACAAATGCTTGCAAATGAATACTACTCTGGCTGGGCACTTGGGAGGCAGAGGCAGGTAAATCTCTTATGAGTTCCAGAACAGCCAGGGCTACACAAAGAAATCCTGTTTCAAAGAAACAAAAACAACAAAACAGCAAGAAAAGCATACTATTCTGTCTTGGGAGTAAATGCAGACATTCGGTTGCTTGCATATGCCCTAAATAATAGTTTACAAACTTGAAACAGAACTAAATAAGAGTACAACTTGGTGGTTATAAAATATTATTTTGATTAATTTATTCATGCTTATGGGTGTTTTGTTTGCATGTATATCTTTGGCCCATCTGCACACCTGGTATAGGTGGAGGCCAGTTTCAGTTGGTTTTGAGCTGCCATCTGGATACTGGGAATTGAACCTGGATCCTCTGGAAGAACAGCCAGGCTTCTTAACCACTGAGTCATCTCTCCAGCCTCTAGATTTTTTTTTAAATCAAAAATTGTTTTCTTCATAACTACATTTTCTCTAATTACTAAAATTTCTATTAAATACAAATGAGGCTGAGGCTGTAGCTCTGCAGCAGATTATCCTAGCATGTGGACAGCTCTCAGTTCCTAGAACTGCCAAAAGAAACAGACAAACCACCCTGTCTCGAAAAACCAAAACCAAAACCAAAAAAATTTGACACTTCAGAAAAGTTGATTTGCAAACTTCTCTTCCATCACTATTTTTTTTAGTATGATTTTTATTTATGACCATGTATGTGTGCCACATGTGTGAATGTACCTGCAGAGGTCAGAGAGGGCATTAGATCCCCTGGAGCTGGAGTTACAGGTGGTTGCAGACCACCCAATGTGGGGCTGAGGACCCCACTTGAGTCCTCTTTAAGAGTGGCAAGTGCCCTTAATCATGAAGCCATCTCTGCAGGCCCTCATTCCTTTAGTATTATTGTTGCTGTTGTTATTATTATATGCGTTGTTGGTGTTTACAGGCATGTATACCTGTGCACCATGTGCATGCCACGTGCCAGCAAAGTCCATTAGAAGGTGTCAGAACTATGGACCTGGAGCTACAGATGGATGAGAGCCGCCATGTGGTTGTTGGAAATTGAATCTGGGTTCTAAGGAAGAACATCAAGTGCTCTTAACCACTGAGCCATCTGTCTAGCCTCTGTTCCGCGTTTCTACTTTTGACTAAGAATATAAGTCATTCATTGCTCAGTTGGTGCGTAGTCTTTTATTGGCTCTGCAGTTCTCAGACAAAAAGCAGCATGGAGGTAGAAACTAGTAACAGATTCAGCAACCGAAATCTGTTCAGTTACCATCTCAGTGGAGGGTCATTCTTGTAAGTGTTAACAATCAGTAATGAAGGAACTTCGAGGGCTGACTTTATTTTTCTGGCATCCACTGTAAGCACACCAGGTAACACTGTTGACAAATGGAATGTTCGGCCTGGCCCTTTGGATGACTGCTTCTGGGAAGTGGAAAGGCATCTCCATTGACTGATTTCCAGCCTTCAGGGTCTTACTCCTGGTACCCTGAAAGTATATACTGAGGCTAGACCAGTCCTTCAGTTTTTTGGAGGCCCCTCCATTCCATGCAGACTTGTCTTTGGGAGATTGAGAGGTATCTCTTCTATAAACAAGAAGCTCCTGAAAGGGAGCTGGGAGTCAGTGTAGGACCAAGACTGGGCTTGGTAACATATCCGTCCTATTAGTATGTTTGTCTACATATACTGTCTCTCTTTTTCTCCTTTTGGTTTTTCTTTTTTGTTGTTGTTTTTGTTTTTTTTCACGGCGGTTTCTCTGTGTAGACTTGGCTGTCCTGGACTCACTTTGTAGATCAGGCTGGCCTTGAACTCACAGCAGTCTGCCTGCCTCTGCCTCCCAACTGCTGGGATTAAAGGCCTGCAATGCTGCCACTATCACTTGGCAGCATATACTGCTTAGCCTCAGTGTTCTTCTGCTTAAGAGTCTCTGCTGTTGACTGCTCCCTCTGATTCCACACAGTCAGCGTCAATGTTTTTGTTTTTCCATTTGTCTGTTTCTAGCATCTTATGTTTGGTATGTACATGTGAGCCATCATACATATGTGTGTATGTGCCAGTGTGTATGCAGTGTAGGATGTCTGATGTCTGGCTCCCTGCCTTGTCTTTAAAGACAGGGCCTTGGGGGCTGGAGAAGTACTTGTGGCTAACAATCATGAAATCTGGAGTTCAGATCCCAACACCCTGTGCATGCCCTCTGCTCTAAGGGAGCTGGGCACAAGAGGATTGATAGGGTCCGGCAACTTGTAGCCTTGTCAAGAAAACTTAAGACCTAGCTCAGGGAAGCATCCTACCTCAAAATAATAGGCAGGGAGTGATAATCCAGGGTGCCTGACCCCCTCTCCTGGCCTTGTTGCTTGCACAAAAACATGTACTCACACATGTGTGAGCATGCATACACCCACATAAATAAATACACAAATAAATCTACAACAGCAACAACACAAAACCAGGTACCTCTGGGACCCAGAATCTCACTATTTGGCTAAGCTGGCTGGCTAGCTAACCTCTGGAAAATGTTCACCAGTACTGCGATTACTGGCACATGGAGTCATGTCTATTTTTATATGCGCCTGTTGGAGATTCAAACTCAGGTGGTTGATTTTATTTTTGCACAGAAAGTACTCTGACCTAATGAGTCATATTGTAGCTCTTGGGTTTCTTTTCTTGTTGTTGTTTGTTTGAAGTACTGGGGACTGGACCAGGGCCTTGGACATGTTAGGCAATGCTCAATCACTGAGCTGTATCCGGATGTTCTCTGTTTTATACTGCGGCAAGCCTGCATTTCACTCTGTAGTCCATGTTGGCTGTGTACTGGCTACCCTCCTATGTCCCTTCCTAAATAGTTGGAATTACAACCCTTTGCTAGCATGCCTACCTTACTAGTACCTTTTTAGTACTTCTGAATACTAAGTCTTAAAAGTTTTAAGTATCCACTTTAAAGTCTTTTATTTTATTTCTATTTTATGTATGGGTGTTTTACATACATGTGCCTCTGTTTACCAGATAAGTGCCCGGGGCCTGCAGAGGCCAGAAGAGCATGAGCTGGCGTGGCCGACAGTCGGGCTGAAATGTGGTTCTGGGAAGTGAATGCAAGTCCTCTCAAGAGAAAGCAGCAGTTGTGCAGAAGCCTTTTGTGAGAGAGGCTTTCAGTATGTGGCCCTCACTAGTCTAGAACTCTATGTGGACCAGGCTGACCTGAACTCACAGAGATCTGCCTCTGCCTGCCTAGGATGGAGATTACAGGCACGTGCCGCCACACCTAGCAGTAAAATCTATTAAACACAGGGAACTTCCCAGAGACTCATACTCCAACCAAGGACTATTCGTGGAGATAACCTAGAACCCCTGCACAGGTGTAGCCCATGGCAGTTCAGTGTCCAAGTGGGTTACATAGTAATGGGAAGAGGGACTGCCTCTGACATAATCTGATTGGCCTGCTCGTTGATCACTTCCCCCTGAGGGGGGAGCAGCCTTACCAGGCCACAGTAGAGGACAATGCAGCCACTTTTGATGAGAACTGATAGACTAAGATCAGAAAGGAAGGAGAGGGGGACCTCCCCTATCAGTGGACTTGGGGAGTGGCATGCATGCAGAAGGGGGAGGGAGGGTGGGATTGGCAGGGGAGGAGGGAGGGGCTTATGGGGGGATACAAAATGAATAAAGTGTAATTAATAAAAAATTAAAAAATCTATTAAACTATCACATTATAACTCTAGTTAAATAACAGGCATTATTTTACTACATTCGATACCCCATAAAGAAATATAAATATATACATGTAAGTACTACATGTGCTGTGTGTCTTAGATTTGTCAAAATTACTAAAGCAGCTGGGCATCATGGCACATCCCTTTAATTAATCCTAGCACTTGGGAGCAAGGTAGATCTCTAACAGTTTGACTCCTGCTCTATACCACGAGTTCTAGATAGCCAAGACTACATAGAAACACTGTCTCAAAAAAAGGAAAAATTAAACAACATATGCAACATAACTATTTCTTTATACAATATGTACTGCATGTGGATGCCTATATATAAAATAAAAAATGGAATTTTTGTATTTGCTGCTGCATTTATTAAGTACAATTCAGATAAGAAAAGTCCATTTGGGCAGCCTTTCCATTTAGAGTCTAGTTAGCATCTATTTACTTTGACTTACTGTTGTTTGTATACCATGAGATCCACTTATATTCCAGATCGTAAGACTATTTGCAGCCACTATTAATGTTCTCAAAGCTTGCTGAGAGGTCTACAGCAATTCTTCATTGTAAACATTACCATGTAAACCCTGAGAGAGTAGTGTACAACTCAGGGTTTGGATGGGAGCTAAAAATTTTAGAAAGCAAGAAAAGGTTTTATAAAAGGGTGAGGTGAAATGCTCATGAGCTATTTTCTCATGTTCTGTAGATTTCTTTACATTTTAATGGTTTATTATAATTAACCATTGTGTGTGTGTGTGTGTGTGTGTGTGTGTGTGTGCGCGCGCGCGCGCATGAGCATATGTATATACAAGTAGAGTGCATGTGTCCAAGGAGGCTAGGCATTGTATCCCCTGGAGCTGGAATTACAGGCAGATAGGAGTCACCTTAGGTTCTATTAACAGCTGAGCCATCCTGCCAACCTTGCTTTTCATTTGTTTGTTTGTTTTTCAAAACAGGGTTTCTCTGTGTAGCACTGGCTGTCATGGACTCACTTTGTAGACCAGGGTGGCCTCAAAGTCACAGAGATCTGTTTGCCTCTGCCTCCCCAAGTGCTGGGATGAAAGGTGTGTGCCACCATGCACGGCTTTATTTTTTTTTTTTTTTTTAATGATATATTTATGTGCATTGGTGTTTAGCCTGCATGTATGTCTGTATGAGAATGTCAGATCCCTTCAACTGGAGTTACAGACAGTTGTGAGCTGTCATTAGGGTGCTGGGAATTGATCGCAGGTCTTCTGAAAGAACAGCCAGTGCTCCCAACTGCTGAGCCACCTCTCCAATTCCAACTGTACTTCTTTTATATGGATGACTTAGTGGTTAAGAGCACTGGCTGCTCTCACAAGAGGACCTGAATTCAATTTCCAGCACCCACATGGCAGCTCACAATTGGCTGTAACTTGAGTTCTAGGGTATCTGATGCCTTCTTTCGACCTTTGTGGGCACTGCATGCTCATGGTGCAAATACATGTAAGAAGGTAAAACACTCATACACATAAAATAAATAAAATGTAAAACTATGTATCTCTCAAGAGGCTAAACTTACAATGTGGTGCCACTCAAGGCCTCGTGGCATACGAGGTCCAATGCTGTCACACTCACCTCGGATAGGACCCAGTGCTGCATCTTTTGCCAAAGCTGTCAGATCACTTCCGGAGTATCCATCAGTCATTCTGAACAGTGGAAGCAAGAGGAAAACAGATTATTTTCTTTGAAGATTAAAACTTCCCTTTCAATAGGCAGCAGTGGTGCAAACCTTTAATTCCAGCACTTGAGAGGCAGAAGCAGGCAGCTCTCTGAGTTTGAGACCAGCCTGGTCTACAAAGTAAGTTCTAGGACAGCCAAGTCTATACAAAGAAACCCTGCCTCAAAAAACAACAACAACAAAAAACAAAAAACAAACAAACAACTTCCCTTTAATCCTACACCTCATGAGGTAGAGGAAGAAGATCACAAGCTTGAACCTGACATGAAGTATACAGTAAGACAAATAAAAAGTCTCAACAGAAAGAGCACACAAAAAGCTGGGTGTGGTGGTGCATGGCTTTACTCCCAGCCCCTGGGAAGCAGAGGCAGGTGGATCTCTGTGAGTTTGAGGCTAGCTTGGTCTACAAAGTGAGTCCAGGACTGCCAAGGCTATATGTAAAAATAAAAGAGAAAGAATACACAAAAATCTCTACACAATAAAGGCATACACTATTTTCAATTTAGAGCAAGCTAACAATTATGTAGTTTGATTTCTCATTCCTTTAAAACTATATTTATTTTATGTATATGTGTGCCTGACTTTATGTATGCACACAGCTGTGTGTACTTTGCCCACAAAGGCCAGAGAAGCATTGGATTCCTTAAAGCTCAAGTTATAGGTAATTGTGAGCCACCCAGTGTGGGTGCAGGGAACTGAACCCAGGTCTTCTGCAAGAGCAGCCAGTGTTAACTGCTGAGGCATCTCTCCAGTGCCAAACATTAATTTTTTTCTTCCAAGACAGGGTTTCTCTGTGTAATAGTCCTGGCTATACTAGACTTGCTTTGCAGACCTCACTGGTCTCAAACTCAGAGAGACACGCCTGCCTCTGCTTTGAAACTCAAATGCTGAGATTAAAAGTATACACCACTACTGGCAGGCTCTATTTAACACTTTTTACATTAGCTTATTTTAATCAGGAAGAGAACGCTTCACAAGTGAAACAGATGCCTAGGATGATGAGTAAGATGAAGGAAACTACTCACCTAGCAAGCTGTGCAAGTTCTTTTTGGGTCAGTGGACTTCCTTGTTTACATAACAGGTTTTTAAGTAGAAGCAGTCTTGTCTGGAAATAAGTATTAAAGAATTATCAATAAAGGCCAATTTGATAACAGAATTATAAAAACTGATGAATGTTACTTGATAAATGAAGGATTAGCTTAATGTAATACTTTAGAATAAGGCTGATCGCTGGCCTGAATCTCACTTGTGCTGTTAAATATAATGAAAACGGAGGAAGCAGCTGCTGTTATGATAAAGGACAGTAAAGGCCTGAACCAGAAAGCTACAATTAAAAAAAAAAAAAAAAAAAGATTTATTTACTTCTGTTTTGTATGTAATGAGTATTTGCCTAAATGTATGTAGGTGTATTGCATGTATGTCTTATGCCCACAAAGCCAAAGAGGATTGTCCAGTCTTCTGAAACAGGACTTGTGGGTGGCTGTGAGCTGCCATGCGGGTTCTGGGAACCAAGCCCACACAGCAAGTGCGCTCAACCACCAGGCCATTGCTCCAGCTCAAAGAAACACAATGCTTTTAAAAGGGTTTGCCAACAATAAGTATATGATTCAAATGACTTTTAGTTATATGCAATTGTAAAACCATTACCATAATAAAATTTTAGAATATTTATTACCCCTGGAAGTTCACTCAAGACTGTCTGTAATTAATCCCTACTCCTACCTCCTTTCCTAACCACTGATCTCACTGTATTTTTACAAATCTGTCTTTTCTAAATATTTCATTTAAAAGGAATAAAATCAGGGCTAGAGAGATGGCTCAGTGGTTAAGACCACAGGCTGCTCTTCAAGAGGACCCAGGTTCCATTCCTAGCACCCCCATGGCAGCTCACAACTGTCTCAAAGTCCAGTTGCAGGGTATCTGACCTCCTCTTCTAGGCTGTCTGGTGCATACATGGTACAAAGACACAGAGAAGGAAAAACATATATATATACATTTTAAGGAAAAATGAGTAAATAAAACAAGAAAATAAATAAAATCATATATTTTCATACGGCTCCTACACTTACTATATTGTTTCTAAAATTTGTTCATATTACGAAATGTAATATGTATGCTGATGCATTTTTTTCAGTCCTGTGGATCAAACCCAGGAACCTATATATGTTGGCATATGTTCTATTTCTGAGCTACACCCCAAGTCCTAGATAATTAAATAATAAATTTCTGAACTAAACTTAACTGGATATTCCACACTTGCATATCCATTAAGCAATTGATGAACTTTGTGTTTTTCGGGTTAAAGTTATTATTAAGACAGCTGCTCTAATATTCTTGAACATGTCTTCTTGCTATGGAGAAGTTTCCATTTCCCTTGGGTTAATGTTCAGGAATTGCTGAAGCTTATATAAGTTTATGGTTAGTATTTTAAGAAACTGACAAGCATTTTCTTAACTGCTGAGACATCACTCCAACTCCAACAAACTGTTTTCAAATGGCTATACCACAGAACTCAAAACACTATATTGTCAGGATGGTACTTTGTTTTTACTTTAATAAAAAATTGAAATATAAATATACACACCTCCTCATTTGGTAAAGACACATACACCCGTTTAATGAAACGCCTAAAAAAAAAATCAAATTAGAAATATAAATTTGAAGCTACAGGTAACTCAGATTAACAACTGCAGGAGAAAAAGCTGTAAGTATAATATCTAAGGTGACTAAAATTTTATTGGTTATTAATATTAAAAGGTAAGACATTAATTTGCCCAGGTTGGCCTGACCTTACTCTGTAATAAAGGCAGGCCTTGAACTTGTGATCCTCTTGCCTCAAGCCTTCCAAGTAGCTTGGATCATAATGCTGTGCCTTACGGCTAATGTAATGCAATGTAAAGAAATGATTTATCTAAATGTAGTCTGTAGAGAATACTTTTAACAACATCGTAGGCCTGACCTCATTTATTATAGCTGGCATCAACAGAACAGAAGTCAACATGTGGAGGAAAAAACATCTAACTGAAAGCTGAGAGTAGAGAACATCACAAGTAGGTGAGATAAACCTGGGTGTGTTGGTACACTCCTCTAGTCTCAGCACTCAGGAGGCAGAAGCAGGCAGATCTCTATGAGTTCCAGGCCAGCCAAGGCTACACAATGAGACCCTGACCGCCCCTGCAGTCAAAAAATGATACATAGGAGATGAACACAAGAGGTGAATCTGTCATAAATGTATTTCACTACCTGAGAACCGCTTCATCAAGCTCTTGGGGCCTATTAGTTGCACCCATTACAAGTACTCGGTCATCTCCAGCAGACTGCACCTGTAAGCCAAAAAGTTTATCAGTATTTTAGGTAAAATAAAAAGGGAAACTATACATATAGTTTCAGTCACTTAATAGGAAAGTACATATTAAAATACTGCCATAGTGAAAAATATAATCAAGGGTTAGAAAGATGCCTCAGATGTTCTTGCAGAAGACTTGGGTTCAGTTCCCGGCACCCACATGGCAGCTCAGAGACACATGGAGTGTTTCAAGGGATCTTATGCTCTCTTCTGTAGGCTCCTATAAACATACAGCACATATACAATCATGAAGGCAAACACACACACAAAAATGATAATAAGTTTTTAAAATATAGATATGGATTGGGCGTGGCAGCATATGCCTTTAATACCAGCACATGGGAGGCAGATGCAGGCGGATCTCTGTGAGTTCAAGGCCAGCCTGGTCTACAACGAGAGTCCAGGACAGCTAGGGCTACACAGAAAAACCCTGTCTCAAAAAAACCCAATTAAACAAACTATAGATATATATATATAAGAATATTAATACTTACACCATCAAATTCTATTAAAAATTCAGTTTTCAGTCGTCTACTAGCATCGTGCTCCCCTTCTCTTCTTTCACACAAAAGACTATCAACTTCATCTAGAGGAAATGCAGAGAAGAGGTTTTAAGATGAATCTCAGTAATCATCTTAATATTCATCCAGTTTGCTACTTATTAACAGTCCTACCAAATTCATTCTATAAAATGCTGTGCTTCTAAATAACTTTTTTGACATATTTCTTATACTTGAAAAGTGAATTCCATGAATGCTCATCTTAATTGGGAAAATATTTACCTATAAAAATTATAGACGGCTGAAGTTCTCGAGCCACAGCAAAAAGAGCTCTCACTAATTTCTCTCCTTCCCCCACCTGCAAGATATGATATATTTTTACACATAAAATGCAACAGTATTTCAGTTTTTAAATTATCTGACTTAAAGTTTAACCTCATGATCTAATGATATATTAGAATGGTGTCACAGAACATATGTTAGAAAACACACAATTTACTTTGCAAACTAAAGTTTAATGGGAACTATTTCACAATCCTACAGTGTACCAGTTCCATTAACAGTAGTTATGAACATTCAATCTATTTGGTTCGTGTGTGCGTACATGTGTGTGCTTGTGTGTGTGTTGCATTTGTAGTCCCACCATTCTGGTGATTTTTTTCTTTTCTTTCTTTTTTTTTTTGAGACAGGGTCTCTCACTGGCCTAGAGTCAGTAAGTCGGCTAGGCTGGGCTGGGCGGTAAGAGATTTGCCTATCTCCATCTCCTCAGCTGCAGTCACAACTACAGGCTGCCATGCTCAACATTTTAGTATGGGTTCTAGAGCTCAAACTCAGATCCTCATGATTATACAGCAAAAATGTTTTTGAGATAGGCCCTCAGCTCTCCTTAATCCCTACAGGTATGGCTGCACCATTCCCAAATTGGACCAAACCCTTCCTTGAATACCACTAGAGTCAATGAAAGGAAAATTATAAAGGAAATCTATATTGGAATGTTGGAGGATGTTTTTGTGCATTGTGTATTCAAATGTTGATTTTTGTACCCAGAGATGTGGTTGCAGTCCGACTTTGGCATTGTCAATTATTATGAAATATCCCTTTTCTTGGTATGTTGTAAACCCTGTTCTCCATCACCTTCTGATTGGTTAAATAAAGAGCTGAACAGCAGATAGCTGGGCAGGAGAGGATAAGGCAGAACTTCCAAGCCAAGGGAGAGGGTCTCAGGTGGGGACCAGAGAGAGAAAAGTCACCATCCATATGGATGAATTTTAGAAAGGGCCAGGGCACACCTAAAATGGCAGGTAATGGGCCACATGGCTGGGAAGTAGGCCAGGCCAGTGCTGTGGTTAGAGTAGCTGAGAATCTGTGTGGCTTCAGTGCCTGGAGATCTTAAAAAATATGAAGGTCCCCACGTCACGACTCAGGGCGGCATAGGGAATTCCCTGTGGGGCTGGAAGATGGTGCAGAGGGTAAAAGAACCTGCTGCTCTTTCTGAGTTCAACTCCCAGCAACCACATGGTGGCTCCCAACCATCTATAGTGAGATCTGGTGCCCTCTTCTGGTCTGCAGGCACACATACAGGCAGAATAGTGTATACATAATAAATAAATAAATAAATAAATAAATAAATAAATAAATAAATAAATAAGTACATCTTTAAAAAAAGAAAAAAATCCTTGCATTTTACATTGTGATATAAAGCTATAAAGAGAAAACAGGAGAACCAGGCATAGTGGGGCACGCCTTTAATCTCAGCACTTGGAAGGCAGAAGTAGGCAGATCTCTGTTGAGTTCAAGGCCAGCCTGGTCTACACAGTGAGTTTCACAACAGCAGGGCTACAAAAAAAGACCCTATCTCAAAAAACAAAACAAACAAACAAAAAATCGAAAAATGAAAAAAACAAACAAGAAAGATTTTATGTCATATAATTTAGAGTCAAAGAACAGCAAATATTCAATTTACCCTAAGTCCTGTTCTCACACATTAGATAACTCTCTAGATAGGCACGTTAGTGAGCTTAAGTAGAAGTGATGGCATTTTTATAGCCTGAATTACGTTGCCCCAAAACATGCTAACATTCTACCTCTGGCATCTATGAATGAGACTGGAAACAGCATCCTTACAGATGGTCAAATTAAGCTGAGGTCATCAGGGTTACCCTAGTGAAACTGTGTTCTTATAACACACAAAAACTTGAGCTTAGAAATTACAGAGAGAATCAAGGAAGAGATCAAAGTGGTACATCTGCAAGCCAAGAACTGCCAGAGATTGTCGGCATACCATCAGAAACTAGGAAAGACATGTTTACTCCTGGGACTCCCAACAGGTATTATAACTGTTAACACTTTGATCTTGGACTTCCAGCCTCCTACATATGTATTTCCATATCCCATTTATCTGTGTAATAAATTTCTGGTATTTGATCCAGGCAGCTTATGAAACTTTGTTAAGCTAGGGCCTTCCAAACTATGACATTCAGCAACATAATTTAAAAAGTGCATATAACTTTGTACCAGAAAGACTGATATTCATTATAGTAAGCAACAGTCATAAATTTCACAGAAAAAGTTTTCTCTTATGTGGCTATCATTTTTATTTAGCGTAATAGCATTTAAGACAGTAATTATAAAAATATGACAATATGGGGAAAAGAACACTTACATATTTTGAAGTTAAACTTGCAGCACTTATATTGAAAAAGGTTGCATTAGATTCTGCAGCTACTGCTTTAGCCTTTAAGATCAAAAGAGTAAAATATATTAGTTCAATATCCTGATTTTCTTTAAAAGACTGTTACAGCTGATCACTAAGTAACAGAATAGAATCTCCAGACATGAAGGTAGATGATATGACCACCAGCATCAGCTACAAGGAAACAGTCTGCACTGTTTCTTTCCAAGGGACAATTAGAATCTTCTCTTTGGTAGGAAGATACTGGTCAGAGAAAGTTAAAACAGAAAGGAAAACTTTACTCCTTTCTTAATTGGTTTTGTTGTTCGAGACCACATCTCCATGTTGTTCAAGATTACGTCTCTATGGCTGGCCTGGAATTCAATTCTATGCAGAGTAGCCTGGACTTGAACTCAAGAGAGATCCTCCTGCCTCTGCCTCTTCAGTGCTTAGATTAAGGTGTGTGCTTTAATGTCTTTAATATCTATTTGTTTTTACAACTCAGAAGAATTATGCAGATATAGGTATTCAGTTTCTGATTTAAAAAAAAACAACGAAAAAAACCCAAACCAAACCTTTGGCCAAAGGACTCCACAAGAAAATCAGCAGACTAACTAGTCAAACAAATTTGTTAAGGTGAAAAAAATTCTAAGAGTTATTACATAGGTACTCAATATAGTCAGGTACCTTACTTCTGCAAAACAAAAGCAAAAACGTCCTACTGAAGGTTATACATGGGTTTCCAAGAAAACCATTTTAAAAACTCAAGAAGTACAATAAGCCATAAATAATAGACTTGGGAACAATATAAGGCTTTTTTTCATATGATCCCTAATACCTCAACAGACTCCTCAGCCTTGATAGCATCCTTACCAGCATTGTTTTTCCATTTCCAGGAGGACCGAAGAGTAACAACCCTCTGGCAGGAGCTCTGAGCCCTGTGAACAACTTTACAAAACACACATCAGTTACAGCTATGACTATAGAGAGCTTATCCAGACATGGCAGGTATTTATCATTTGCTATCTGAAATCACCATGTTTGTTTGTTTTTTTTTTTTTTGGCAGGGGGTCCCACTATGTTTCCCTGGATGGCCTGGAACTCATTATGTAGAGTGGGCTAGCCTCAAACTAAAAGATCTACCTGCCTTTGCCAAGTGCTGGCACTAGGTGTGTGCCGCTCAACAGGCCTCACAGTTAGTTCTCTAGCTCTGCAATCGTATGATTCCTCTCTAACAGCTTTTTAAATTAATATTTAGTCTGTTGCATTACTACTCAGTCTGTAAACTATCATCTGGGCTTCCCCTGTGGCTCATTCTATAAGCAACAGTTTGCTCCCCAAGGGGTCCTAGCTGGACACATGACATAAATTTGGTTCATAAAATACAAATGTTTTCTGTCTTAATTCTCTCATTTTGTAAGTACTTACAAAAATGTAACCACTTCATGACTTGTAATGACAAGAACTAAAAATTTCTCTTAAATATACAAAATGGGTATGGTGGTTGAGAGTTTACAGTTCTGGTTACAAAGAGGCTGAGGGAAGGGAGAACTACTTAAGCTCATGATTACAAGACCTGCCTGGGTAACATTCTGAAACCTCACTTAAAAAAGAAAAAGAAGAAAAAAAAAATATAAACTGGAAAAACCAACATCCAGCAATAACTTCTAGTTTAGCAGGTGTGCATAAATGACCAATACCACAGAGGAGACGGATAACCGAGAAAAACAGCCACACACTTCTGCACAGCCACTGAAAAAGGGCATCCATCACAATGGGCCACACAACTGTATTTCCACTAGCTGTTTTGAGGAACTAGTCAGTAAGATATGAAGTGATCCTGAGATATGTACTCAAGTTGATTTCTCGCATTATCACTGAACCACAATAAATATGCTAGTTGAGAAAACTATGAACTGTTGCCAAATATGGCAAGCCAAACTTTAATTAGTGACTTAAAGATTACCCATTTCCTTTAATGACTGATAACATGAGGTAAGCCAGATCCCTATGTATTACTCACTGGCCATCTGTATATGTCCTGGTAAGTTAATACACTAAAAACAGTTGTTTGGTCTTCAAACTTATACTTTTTGTTTGTTTGAGACAGGGTTTCTCTGTGTAGCTTTGGCTGTCCTGGACTTCTTTGCTGGCCTCTGCCTTTCCAGTGCTGGGATTACAGGTGTGCCAACACCACACCTGGCTCAAAATTATATTTAAAGCATTATTTTATCTTACTTTCCTTTGTTCAGTTATTTTAAGTTTAAAGGTTTTTGGCTTTTTTGTTGTTTGTTCTGTTTTGTTTTATTCGAGACTGGGTTTTCTGTGTAGCCTTGGTTGTCCTGAACTCACTTTGTAGGGCAGGCTGGCCTCGAACTCACTTAGATCCAACTGTCTCAGCCTCCCAGAATGCTGGGATTAAAAGATATGCACCACATAGCCTGGTTTTTTTGCGTCTTTCTTTCTTTTTTTTCTTTCTTTGTTTTTCGAGACAGTTTCTCTTTATATCAGCTGTAGCTATCCTGGAACTTGCTTTGTAGACCAGGCTGGCCTTGAATTTACAGAGACATGCCTGCTTCTGCCTCTTATGTGCTGGGACTAAGGGTGCCACAAATACTGCCAAGTTTAAATTTCTCAATTTTAAATCTTGGGACTGAGGATATAGCTCAGTAGTAGCCGTTTGACTTGAAAAGCCTTAGGTTCAACTCTAAAGGGTTGGGGGGAGCAATTTCTACTCTCTCTACTGTTTTAATAAAAACTATAGGATGCTCTACTTTTCTAGTAAAAGTTAAAAATGGATTGAGGATTATTTACAATCATTCTCATCTACTTTAACAAGTTATCAATAGCAAACGTAAGTGCCCCTTTCTAAAGGAGTTAGATAGGTTATGGCTATGTTACACCATAGGCTGGCCCAGAATCTACTATGGAACCCAAGCTGGCCTCAAGCTCAAGATCCTCCTGCCTCAGCCTCCTCAGCTGGATGCGTGATACGTCCCCAGACTTTGATGTTTGTATTTTTTAAAACACTGAACTTGGAATTACTTAATATGAATTAATTGTTTGTTAAGATAAAATCCTTACCTCAGGCCGTAGAGAAGGAAGAATAACAATTTCTTGCAATGCTTGCTTTGCCAGTTCCTGACCAGCTATATCATCAAATTTAACAGCTGTCCCACTAAGGAAGAGAATGTCAGTTAATTTCACAACAGAAATATGCTTCAGCTACTTCAATGTGGCATATAAGTCTAACAGTCATTTTCATGTTAACTATGAAGCTTGTTTATTAGCAAAAATCTTCAAAACTACCATAAAATGAATATGAAAGCACACAAAATATTTATTATGTGTCACACATGTTTATTTTACAAATAAAAATAGAGACTGAAATGCTTAGCAAACTTACTTGTCAACAATTTCATTCATTATGAGGTTAGCAAGATTGCTGTCCACATTCCTAAAATTTTTCAAGTCTTTCTTTTTCCGAACAGCAGTTGTGGGTGTAGAAGGTTTGTTGGTTCTATTTGGTTTTGGAGTACCCTTGAAGGACACAAGATTTTAATATGAACAACCTAGATTTTTACTCATAAATTACTCTAAAGGTTAACAGAATTTAGTGAAAACGAGGAAAATATGACACTGGGGAAATGTTCACTTAGGCTTGCTAACAACTATAAGAACCTGAGTTCAGAGCTGGAGAGATGGCTCAGTTAAGAGCACTGGCTGCTCTTCCAGAGATCCTGAGTTCAATTCCCAGCAACCACTTGGTGGCTCATAACCATCTATAATGTGATCTGATACCCTGTTTTGGTGTACAGGTGTACATGCAGATAGAGTACTCATATACATAAAATACATAAATAAATCTTTAAAAAAAACAAAAAGCAGACACTTTCTCTCAGGGAGGCAGAGGCACGTGAATGTCTGAGTTTGAGCGTCTAGGACAGCTAAGGCCACACAGACAAACCCTATCTCAAAAAACAAAAACCAAACAAACAAAGAAAAGAAAACAGAACCTGAGCTCAGATCCTGAGTACTCTGTAAGCCAGGCATGTGGTACACATCTGTTGCTCAGATCTCAGGGGCAGAAACAGGCAGTCTGGAGCTCAAAGGCCACCTGTTCTAGCACAATGTATAAGCTCCAGGTTTGGTGTGCAAAGTGGCTGAGGAAGTTATCTGACTTCTACCTTTGGTTTCCACACAATAGCAAACACAAAGAAAAAAATCTAAGACTGCAAAGATTATTTAGCCCAAAACTATATTCACTATAGAATGACATTTGGCATGAAGATTTTATCCAGAGATTCAGTTACTATAAAAGCTAAAGGCGAGACAGAGAAATGACTCAGTAGTTGAACTTTTTCTGTAAATCATAAGGACTGGAGTCTGGATGCCAGCATTCATGTAACATGCCAGTTATCCTGTCTATACATGCTTGTAACTCCAGTTCTGAAGGCAATGATCTGAATGATCTCTAGGACTTGCTGGCTTCCACACTAGCCAAAATAATACAAGCTCCAGGTTCAAGCACAGGTTCTTCCTCAGAGGAACAGGCAGATACCCAACGCCCTCTTCTAGCTTTCGACTGTACACATAGATGTGTACACACGTGCACACACACACATAAACACACAATTTTTTTTAAGCAAAAGACTCAAAAGAAAAGTAATGTAACTCTGATTCTTCTGGAATTACACTGCCCAGCATTCGGAAGGCAGAGGCGGGCAGATCTCTGAGATCAAGGCCAGCCTGGTCTATACAGAGAGTTCCAGGACAGCCAGGACTACACAGAGAAACCCTGTCTTAAAAAAATGAAACAAAACAGTCAGGCATGGTGGCACACACTTTAGTCCCAGCACTCAGGAGGCAGGGACAGGTAGGTCTTCATGAGTTAAAGGCCATCCTGGTCTACAAATTGAGTCCAGGACAGCCAGGTCTCTGTTACACAGAGAAACCTTGTCTTAAAAAAACAAAATAAAAATAAAAAACAAACAAAGAAAGAAGAATTACAACAAATCTCTAGGCATGTTATAAAATTTGCATAACCTGAAATCTAAAAGTATAATTAAAATAACACATATGTGACACATGCCTGTGATCCTAGCTCTTGGGGAGGTAGAGGCAGCCAGATCTCCGTGAGTTTGAAGTCAGCCTGGTCTACAAAGTGAGTCCAGAACAGGCAAAGGCTACACAGAGAATCCCTGTCTCGAAAAACCAAAATTAAGATAAAATAAAATGACATATACAGGGCTAGAAAGATAGCTTTAGAGGTTAAAAGCACTGTCTGCTCTTCTAGAGGTCCTGAGTTCAATTCCTAGAAACCACAGGGTGGCTCACAACCATCTATAATGGTATCTGGTGCCCTCTTTTGGTGTGACATGCAGGCAGAACACTGTACATACATATAATGAATAAATAAATCTTTAAAAAAAATGACATATACCACATTATACTGAAAAGACTTGGAATGTAAGCAATATAAAATACCTAATTACTCTGAAAGGAACTAAGATTTTTATTTAACAGCAAGTAGTTTTTGCAATTAAAAAATTATATTTAACCCTGTGGAAACCAATCAATTCTATAAAGAATTATAAAGAACTAATACAGTGAAGCAACCATAACAAAGTTTCCTACTTGGAAAGCACATTACACACACTATTCTAGAGTACCTTATGTGCAGTAGCTGCAGGACCAGGTCCCTGTCTTGCTCCAGAAACCATGGATAAACCACTGCAACTAGGTGCCCTGTGGTGACCTGAGAGCCCCGTGGATCCACTTTTCATGACTGTTTTTGACCGAGGCAGTGAATTACTAGCATGCGTTAAGGGATCTTTCCTCTTCGGAACTGCTCCACTCTCTATCGAGGAAAAAAAAAATGCAGCGATCATGATTAGAAAGTTTGACTGTAAGTATAAAAAATAGTAACAATTTACAACACTAATAACAATAAAAGAATAACAAGTTTGCAAAACAAGCTACCAGCAGTTTACAACTTTCTTTACTATTGTGTGTAGATGCATGTGTCAGTGCGTATAAGTCTTGCAAGTCAGAAGACAACTGTTGGGCTATGAGTCTCACCTCCCACCATGTGGGTCCCAGGGTCAAACTCAGGCCATCAAGCTTGTGTGGGAAGTGTCTCTAACAGCCAAGCCATCTCACTGGCTTATAACCAAGGCCTTTAAAAACCAGAAATATTGCAAAATAAGATTGGAGTCAGAAAATAAAACAGGATGTCACAGGAAGAAGTTGGAAAAAGAGATTTGGTTATTAGGTTTGCCCTTCCCTTTTGTAAATTCTAACTTTCTTATGAAGAACTATATCTGTAAAAACAACTTCACTTGTTAGTGCAGGTAAGACATAAAAAAATGACCAAGCACATAAAGCTCCCAAATAACTAAGAAACTAAATTCAATGAAGCACTAGGGATATACTACATAGAAAAACCAGCAACATTCCACTATCTTACTGTCCACCTTTGGGTGTGTAGGATATGTACTGTGTGGGTGTGTGCACGGAGAAGTCAAATGATGTCAGGGATGTCCCTCAGTCTGCCACATCAACCTCATATCTGAAACATCCTCGTTGAACCTCCTTAACTGAGCTAGGCTGGTTGGTAAATGAACACCTGGTACCCTCACCCCATTGCTGACTTTACAGTCTTGCTTTTGTGTGGGTGCTAAGGATCTAAACTCAGGTGCTTGGGTGCCAGAACTTTACTGAAGGAGTTATCTATCTACCAGGATGTAAACTTTTATGGTTATGAAAGATGAAGGACTACAAGTTATGCCCACTTAAAGTTTTGACTAACCAATTATAGCTGAAAGGTATAAAGTTGTAGTCTTTAGTATATCAAGTACTTTATGTGACATGTATATCATACGCAAAATAAATAGGTTACAGGCTTTTAAATGCTCAAAGATCACAACTTCTAATATATAACTTTATATTCTTATAAAACAAAAATTAGCTGGGTGAGGTAGTACATACCTTTAACCCCAGCACTTGGGAGGCACAGGCAGGCCTAGCTCTGTAAGTTCAAGACCAGCCTTGTTTGCAAAGTGAGTCTAGGACAGCCAGGGCTATTATACAGAAAAACCCTGTCTTGAAAAACAAACAAACAAACAAACATACAAACAAACCATCACCACCACCAGCAACAAACCAATGCTTATTAACGATGATGTTTATTGCTAAGGACAAATGTTAACCTAGGAAAGCAGGGTGGTTCAAGCTGTAATCCCAGCACTCTTGAGGCAGAGTCAGAAAGACTGTTGTGAGTTCAACAATAACCTGGGCTACATATGAGTTATACGCCAGTTTGGGCTATAGCGTATGAAACTATCTTTAAGAAAGAAAAAGCAAGCCAGGCATAGTGGGGTATATTTTTAATCCCAGAGCTTAGGAGGCAAAGATATGTAAGTTTCTGTAAATTTGAGGCCAGCATGGTCTGCAGAGTGAGTTCTAGGGACAGCCAGAGCCTGTCTCAAAAAAACAGACAGAGAGACAAACAAACAAAATGCAGATCTTGGTAACAGGTACAATTCCATAATCCTAGCACTCAGTAGGCAGATGTAGGAGGATCACTGTAAATTCTGGGATAGCCTACTCTATCCACCAAGTTCTAAGCCACCCAAGATTACATCACATATCAAGACCCTCTCTAAAGGATGGGGGAACGAAGGAGAAATATGTTAAACTGGTCAGGAAATTAGACTGGTCAAGAGTTAGAAGCCTTGGTTTTGCTTTTGAGTAGCTTTAAAGTAAATTAAGGGGCTGGAAAGATGGCTTCTTCCAGAGGTACTGAGTTCAATTCCCAGCAACCACATGGTGGCTGACAACCACCTATAATGGGATATGATCTCTTCTGTCATGCAGACATACATACAAATAAAGTGTTTATATATATAAATAAATAAATATTTTTTAAAAAGTAAATTAAGAATTATTAACCAGGTAGAGGGAATAGGTTGTTTGTTTATCTCAACTAAATCATTATAAGATCTGAAACAATTAAGTAAAATTCCAGGTTTAAAAAAGTGACAAGGAATCTACACTGATGTCCTGGTACTGAGAATGAGTTTTACATTGCTACTGGAAGACTGACTACTAAGAGAGCCTCTAAGGAAGCAGAATATATAGCCTACATACTAGACTAACCCAGTCATTCAATTATATTGTAATAATGAAATTTATGACAATCAAGGAGATTATTATAGAATCAGTCTGGATTGCCTTGGATCATTATTCTACAAAGTAAGGGACTCTGGTTGCTAGCATTATTTTAGTCATAATAAGAGGCTAAAACTACTGCAATCTCTCCAAAGGTTTTAAGATGAAAGATTCACCACACTCAACTACCAAACAGGGCTGGAGAGATGGCTCATCAGTTAAAAACACTGACTACTCTTGCAGAAGACCCAAGTTTAGTTTCTAGTACTGACACTGAGTGGTTCACAACCACCTGTAACTCTAGGTCCAGGAACTGATCCCAAGAGGATCTGATCACTCTAGCTCTGCTGCCACCCCATACACCTGCACATACCCACACTTGTACACATAATTAATATTAATAAATACAGGGTGCTGAGAGGTAGCTTAGCGATTAAGAGCACTTACTGTTCTTGCAGAAGACCTGGGTTCAGTTCCCGGCACCCACATGGCAGTTCACAACCATTTGTAACTCCAGTTCTACAGAATCTGACACGTTCTTTTGGCATATGTATAAGGATATATATGCATAAGGATCAGACATACACATACGTAAAACACAAACATAAAATATTTTTTCTTCAAAAAAAAAAAAAGAGAAAGAGGGGTAGAGAGACATTTCAGTGGTTAGGACCACTTGTCCCTACTGCAGAGAACTTGAATTTGGTTCCCAGAACCTTCCAGCTCATACCATCCACAACTCCAATTCCTATGGATCTCTCATCCTATTCTGACGTCCAGGAGCACCTAACATGAACATGGTACATATACATGTATTCAGGCAAAACAATCATACACAATAAATAAATCAATCTGAAGAAATTAAAAATGAAAACATCAAATATATCAAATAGACAGAGTGCAGGAAAAAAAAAGTGTAAATGTAGTTTCTACAAGACCGTGTCATCTACCTAACTAAGATAGATGGAGCACAAAAACAGCTACAATAATTGCTAAACAAAATTCCAGATAGGAAGAAACAAGTGTGGTAACCCACGCCTGTAATCCCAGCATTCAAGGAGGCAGAGGCAGGCAGATCTCTGAGTTTGAGACCAGTCTGGTCTACAAAGCTGTCCAGGATAGCCAAGGCTACACAGAGAAATCCTGTCTCGAAAAACTGAAAAGAGAGGAGGAGGAGGAGAAAGAGGAGGAAGAATCCAGATAATGAGGTGACTCAAAACAAGGGCACTTCAAGTACAGTGTAGCTGACCAAGGATGTGCCAGTATGTAAGTTCTGAACCCAGGCTCAGCAAATTAGAAACAACAGGAAGGGGGCTGGAGAGATGGCTCAGAGGTTAAGAACACTGGCTGCTCTTCCAAAGGTCTTCAGTTCAATTGCCAACAACCACAAGGTGGCTCACAACCATCTATAGTGAGATCTGGTGCCCTCTTCTGGTGTTCAGGTGTACATGTAAAAAGAACATTGTATACATAATAAGTAAAAAACAAAAACAACAACAACAAAAAAACAGGCAGAAGCAGAAAGTATGCAGAAAAACGAGAAGACAAGACCTTCCTGGGAGGATGCTAAATAGCATTCCTTTCAGAGGAATAAAGTCACTGCAGTATTTCTTCAGAATGAAAATACATAAGCCTAAGCCACCTACTATAGGTAGAAATTTCAGGCTGAGTGTGATATAGCACACTTCTTTAATGCCAGCACTTGGGAGGCAGAAGAGCCTGATTTCTGTGTGTTCAAGGCCAGCCTAACTATACAGTAAGTTCTAAGATAGCCAGGACTATGGAGAGAGAGAGAGAGAGAGAGAGAGAGAGAGAGAGAGAGAGAGAAGAGTGAAAGAGTAGAGAGGGAGGGAAAGAGGGTGGGAGGGAGGGAGCGAGAGATGAAGGAAGGAAAAAGAGAACGGAATTTCTACAAAGACACACTATGAGAATGACAAAAGACACTCATAGAAAAAAAAAATGAGTGCCAAAAGATTGTTCAGCAGTTAGCACTGGCTTTCAGAGGGCCCAAATGCAATTTCCAGCACCCACGTGGCAGCTCACAACTGCCTGTAATCCAGCTTAGAGTGATTTGACATCCTCAGACAGACACACATGCAGCCAAAACACCACTGCACATAAAACAAACACATCATCAGAAAAAAGAAAAAATAATAAATGTCAGAATGCTAAGGATGTAGCAGTGGTACAGAGCTTGCCCAGAATGTGTAAGGCCTGGGTTTGATACTCTACACCAGGAAACTACAACCAAGACTTATGTCAGGGGCTGTGGATGTGACTCTGTTGGCAGCCTGCTTGCCTAGCATGCAGGAAGCCCTAAGAATAAATAAAACTGGTGGCGGCACAAGTGATCTTTAACCATATACAAGTTCAATGCCAGCTGGGATAAGTGAGATCCTGCCCTCCAAACGAATCCTACTGCTGGGAAAGTGCAGACAGGCAGATCCTAGGGTTTCCTGGGCAAGCAGTCTAGCCAATCAATGACTTCCAGATTCAACAAGAAACCTTTATCAAAAAAGAGGAATAAGACAGATAGCAGTTGAAAAAGATACCTAGCCAAAACCAGACTCTGGCCCCCTCACACACACACACAGAGAAAGGAGAGAGAGAGAGAGAGAATAAAGTCAACATGTAGGTTGGCCCATTGTTGTCCACTTTTTGGTTTTCTTTTTTTAAAGACTCATTTATTTATTAAATATTTATTTGTCTTTATGCATATGAGTACTCTAGCTACATGTACACCTGCATGCCAGAAGAGGGCATCAGATCACATTATAGATGGTTGTGAGCCACCATGTGGTTACTCAGAATTGAACTCAGGACCTCTGGAAGAGCAGCCAAGCCATCTCTCCAGCCCTAAAGATTTATTTATTTATGAACATTGGTGTTTTGCCTGCATGTATGTCTCTTGAGTGTGCCAGATCCTCTGGAACTGGAGTTACAGACAGTTGAAGTTACGAACAGTGTAATCTGCCATGTGGATGCTGGGAATTGAACCTGGGTCTTCTGGAAGCAGTCAGTCCTCTTAACTGTTGAGACATCTCCCCAGTTCCGCTGCTTTTACATTTAAAACAAATTAATTATGTGCATGGGTGGCTACATGTGGCTGCAGCTGCCACTGAGGCTTCCAGAAGAAGCCTGGGATGCCTGAGTTGGGAGTACAGACAGTTGTGAGACACTGGACAAAGTGCTGCTAGGAACTGATCTCCAGCCCTTTGCAAGAGCAGTACAGGCTTCCAATGACTGAGTCATCTCTCCTGGGTCTCCTATAAATTCTTCAGATAAAGAAAACCAAAATCAGGGAGCTGAAGGGAAGCCACAGGAAGCTGGGGAAGATTAGAATGACATTCCAGGAAATATCACCAAAGAATTATTTTTATGCTCTTTTTTATATTTAATGCTAGAGATCAAATGGAAGGCCTCACACATACACAGCAAACATCTACTAAGTTACATGCTCGGGGTATTTTTAAACACTAGAAAGACATTTTACAGATTTGTCAAAGGAGCTACTAAAGAGGTGGGTATGTTAGCACATGCCTATAATTTCAGCATAGGCAGGAAGGATGTGAACTGCAGAACAGTCCAAGCTTCCATCATAGAGTGGTAGGAAGGGAACAGAAAGGAGTTAAAGGCCAAAGTATGAACTTAGAAAAAAAAAGTAAAACCAGAAAATCTGTCTACAAGAACAACTCATGAGCAGCAGGCTAAGGAATAACAGCAACAGAGCACTTGCCTGGATGCTTTAGGCCCTGAATCCAACTCCTAGCACCACTAAAAACTTAATTGTACTACTCGTCTTCAAACAATCAATACTTGCTAAATAATAATGTTAACTATGATTTAAAAAAATTTATTTATACATGTGTATTTATGTTTGTGGGCCACTGTGCATGTGCCATGTCCACGAAGATACTCAAAAAGCCACAGGAAGAAATCAAATTCCCTGGAGCTGGAGCTGTGAGTGGATGTGAGGCATTAACTGTGGAGGCTGGGTATCCAACTCCAGACTCCTGAGGAGCAGCCGGTGCTCTGAAAGGCTGAGCCAGCTCTCCAGCCCTAACTAGGGATGTTTTTAAAGATAGCCTAAGCTATGTAGACCAGGATGGTCTCACACTTGAGATCTTGATTTATCCTGTCCAAGTGCTAGGAGAACAGGTGAGAGCCACCACGCCTAGAGATTATTTTAATACTTTGAACATATTTATACTAGTTGCTTTAACATTTTTATTAAACCCAACACCTGGACTCACTTAACGTTTCTTTTGTTTTCTTTTTTTGAGTCAAGATCATGTTTTCCACCAAGTGTGGTAGTGTATGCCTGTAATCCCAGCACTCTGGGAAGCAGAGTGGATCTCTGTGAGTTTGAGGCCAGCCTAGTCTACAAAGTGAATCCAGGCAGCCAAGGCTACACAAAGAAACCCTGTCTTGAAACACCCCCCTAAAAACGAGAGGGGGTGGTCATATTTTCCAGGGCTGAAGAGATGAGCAGTTAAGACCATGTGCTGCACACCCATGGCAGGTGTCTTCTGTATCCATACCCATGAACCCATACCCCAACCACATACACAGACACACAGACACACAAAGGAAAAAAGTATTCAGATGGTTCAGCAGTTTACAGCTCTAGATTCTCTTCCAGAAGGACCTGGGTTTGATTCCCAGTGCCGCACTGAAGCTAGCAGCTGTCTTTAACTCCAGGCACACACATAATGCAAAGGTATAGATACAGACAAAACACTCAGACATAGACTAATCAAGTTTTCTAAAAAAAAGAAAGAAAGAACAAAAAGAAAGAAAAAAACAAAAAGAACGGATCACTCACTGATCTTTGGCACAGTGTCAGGGTCTTGTGCAGCATGCCTCAGGCTTTGGGTATGATCCCTAGTATTCAAGAAACTAAAAATAAGAAGTAAACTTTCAAAGTTGCTTCTTCCTTCCTTGCTTTCGTATTTAATTAGAAGGGATAAGCAATAGTTACAAGGAAGATTTACTTGGCAGAAACAATACCATTAAAATGTATCTTCTTGGTATATGAAGCTTCAGTTTCTAACAAGAACCATGATAAAGCAATTCATATTATACATATGAAAATGATAAACAATAAAAATTTATGTTTAACAAAACATTAAAATTTCTATGTGAAAAACACAAAAAAGAAAAACTCCACATTGCCAGGTGGTGGTGGCACAAGCCTCTCTAATCTCAGCACTTGGGAGGCAGAGGCAGGAGAACTGAGTCTGAGACCAACCTGGCCAACAGAGTGAGTTCTAGGACAGCAAGGGCTACAGAGAGAAACCCAGCCTTGGAAAAGAAGAAAGAAAGAAACAAAGAAAAACCTTATAAACACTTAAAAAACATTTTAACCATTTAAAGGCATGTGCAGCCTGGGTATGGTGGTGCACAACTGTAACCCCAGCACCCAATGCAGAAGCAGGCAGCTCTCTGAGCTGAAACTAACCTAGGCTAGAGAGTTCCAGCCATCCAGGATGACAGAGCGAGACCTGACTCAATGAATGAATGAATGAGTGAATGAGTAAATAAATAAATAAACAGTGCAATACGTTTATAATTCCAACAGTGGGGAAGCAGAGGCAAGGATACCGATGAATGGAAGTTAAGGGCCACCTGGTCCATACAGTAGGTTCTAACAGGCAGGGCTATATAGCCCTGTCAAAAGACAAAAAAAAAAAAACAAAAAAACAAAAAAAAAAAACAAAAAAACAAAAACAAAAACAGTAACATAATAAAAACAACAAATGAGGCTTTCAAAGATTGCTCAGTTGGGAAAGGCTCTTGCTGCTAAGCTTGACAATTTGAGTTTAATCCCAGAACATACATGGAGACAGGAGGGAATCCCTTCTTTCAATTGTCCTCTGACCTCTAAATGTGTTCACAAATACACATACATGCATACATACGTACACATATACGTGTGTGTATATATACATATGCATGCATACAGACATAGACATACACACACACACACACACACACACATATATAATTTTCTAAAAGAACAGTTTCTTTAGTACACTTCAAGGGCTGTGGCCTAGGCAGTAATGCAAGTACCACCTCCCTTTATTTTATACTTTTTAAGTAGAAAGTTGGAAAACATGTGAATAGGTGTATTTAGAACGGCTCTACCATATCTGTCATATGTTCAGACACTACGAATGATAAGGACACTGTATTTTCTACCAACCTGTAAAAACAAAATAGTTATGCCTTCTACTACACAGCTAAATCACATTTTAGGCTAAGCAAGAGTTCATATTGCATGCAAGCTTTAGTTTCTGTTAGTCAGCCTAAACCTACCTGACTGGAGATGTCCATTGCGGCATGTCAGGTTAGTACTGTCATTATAGACGTCCGTTTGTGACTTGGAAAATTGCAAAACTGGTTGCAGCTTCTCTATGCAACAGAGGGGGTTAAAAAAAAAAACAAAATAAACAAAAATAAAAATAAACAAATAAAATGCATGTGGAAAATGGAAAATTATTGATGTATTACAAAGCTGTGAAACAGCGAAGTTTCTGCACATATACGAAATAGTCTCTAAAATATGTAATTAGTAAGAACTCATGAAAAGTTACAGAAGTTAACACGTGAGAGGCTATGTTGAAAATGTAACTTAATAAGGCTGGGAACCTAAGGCAGTTGCTTATCACAATTATTAGCAATAAGAGATGGTTGCTTATAATATGCTCAAATCCCCAGGTTAACATAGTCACATGTGGATAAAAAGTGACTAAGCTTCTTTCTTGTTGTTTCTGAGGCAAGGGCTCTCTGTACAGCCCTGTTTGTCGTGAAACTTGCTCTGTAGACCAGGCTGTCCTTGAACTCAAGAGATCTACAAGCCTAAGTGCTGGAATTAAAGACCTGAACCACCATGCCCAGCTTATGACTATGGTTCTTATTATCTACAAACTTATTAAATATAACTGGCAACTTAGAGAATAACTGTATTTGTATATTATTATTATTATTATTGACGGGTTTGTCTGTGTAGCCTTGGCTATCCAAAACTCACTTTGTAGACTGGATTGGCACACTGGGATCTGCTGGCATGAAAGGCCTGAGCTACCATGCCCAGTACAACATAATTTTTAAAAGACTACACACCAGGGCTGGAAAGACAGTACAGAGGTTAAGAACACTGGCTGTTCTTCTAAAGGTCCTGAGTTCAACTCCCAGCAACCACATGGTAGCTCATAACCATCTATAGTAAGATCTGGTGTGCAGGCAGAATGTTGTATAAATAATAATTAAATCTTTAAAAAAAAAAAAAGACTACACACCATAAAGAGTCTATTGGAAAGGCTTCACAGAGGAAGTACAGTGTTGGTCCCACTAAGATAAAAAGGAAAATTTAAGAGGAAATCAAACTTAAAAAATGGCACAGATGGAAACAACAAGGTTATCTAAGAAACGTCACATTTGGCTATATGTTTTCGTAAGTCAAGCAAAAAATAAATGCCACCAGGCAAAGGAAGCAGTATGGGCTGTGTGCGCCATGAACACACACACACACAGACACAGAGAGAAACACAGATACAATGGTGGCACAGCTGCCTCTTGGGAGGGGAAATGGGTCACTGGGCACAGTATGGGAAGGTGCCAACCATACCTTAAAATTCTGTGGCATGTGCCTGTAAGTTCCAACCCCACTCCATCTCAAATAACAGCCCTCCACAGGCTGTGTCTCAGCCTAGTGCCTCGAGAGGAAGGGCTGAGCTTCAGCTGCAGCAGCAGGGCTGCAGCCCTTCTGCCTCCCCTTGGCAGTAAGTACATGCAGGCTTCCAGACACACTCCTAAGGTGACATGCATGAGGTATACAACCCACCTCACCCAAATAACGATCACCTTTTCCCCAAAATGCTTTGCTGAAGTAAGTTCGTTTTCTTCTGTACCAGCAAGCCAATGGATCCATGTATAAATGGAGCACAGGGCTAGATACATGCAGCTCAGTATGGAACACACTGGATTAATTATCAGCACCCAACAAGAAAACAAAACAAAGAAAGCAGAACATATATACAAAGTCTTAGACTTATATTCCTGAAGTCAGACAAGCAGGCACCGCGCTTGGTTTACGGCCCAGTATCGCATGCCTCTGGACAGGTTAAATAGCAGCTACCCTTTGTGCACAAAGCACAAAGCAGTGCACAGCTTTTGTATCCTAGAAGTGGCTGATACAATATACCTTGGATCCTGTCTGTTTACTTGAGTTAACTGGAGGTAGGTCATCTGATTTTTCTCTGTGATAATGCTCTTTAAATCAAAATACTGAGACACAATTTACTTGCGTTGGTAAAACTGTACATTGGAAAAATTCTAGTTAAGTGTCTTTTTTATTAACACAGGTTACCAGAAACACTCATTATATAATAAAGACAAGCAGAAATGAAAACCTTAGTGTTTTTGATGATTGGGAATAAAAAGTTATAAGTAAGTATGTAGATTTTACAATTCTACCTGTGTAAACACACACACCACATAAACTGGGCACAGTGGCACAAACCTGCAGTGACAGCACTTAGGAGGCAGAGGGTGAAGGATCAGAAGGTCAAAGTCATACTCTATGAGTTCATGGCTGGCCTAGAATACTAAAGGGTTTTAAGTAGAGATATATAGTAGGATTTTTCTCAAAAGTACGCCAGTGAGCTGATTCTTTGAAAATTAAATGTGAGGAGTTCAGGGAAGCAAGACTGTTTTGGTTTAGGTAACTGTATTAGTCTATAAACCTGGATTAAAAAAAAAAAAGCCCAATGGTGGTGGTACAGTCTTGTAATTCCAAAAGTAGAAAGGAAAGAGCATAGACACCGATTTCAAAAGCAACCTGGTCTACAAAATGAGGACTTATCTCAAAATAAACTTAAAATTACTGAAGCTAGAAAACAGGTGAATGTGCTGGATTGTGGTGATGCATGCCTTTGATCCCAGCACTGGGGAGGCAGAGGCAGGCGGATCTCTGTGAGTTTGAGATCAGCCTGGTTTATAGATAGTCAGGAGTACACAGAGAAATCCTGGTATGTGTAAGAGAGAGAGGGGGGGGGCCCTTGGTTAAGAGCACTGGAGCTCTTAATACCAACAGCAACATCAACTACCTGGAACCAGAGTTGCAGGGAATCCGATGCTCTCTTCTGGTCTCTATGGGTACTTGTATGCATGTTTGCACATATATACACTCAGGTACACACATAAAATAAAATATAATTTAATAAGTGACATTAGCAGGGCAGTGGTAGTGCGCATCTTTAATCTCAGCACTCAGAAGGCAGAGGCAGATAGATTTCTGTGAGTTTGAGGCCAGCTTGGTCTACAGAGTGAGTTCCAGAATAGCCAAGACTAAACATGAGAAATCCTGTCTCAAAAGACAACAACAAAAAATTGAAATTATTCATCTAATCTACCTACAAATACTGACTTCTTGTGATACTGGAAACAGCACAGGGCCTGCTACATGCCACCAATAGACTGTGTCCAGCCTTTACAATGTAAGATTCATTAAACATTTCAAGTATATTTCATGTATTAGAGAATACATTAGTCGATACCTAGAAGTTGTAAGCGATCCTTGGCCATAACCAAATTAGTCATCATTTTGGCTTGAAGGCGTCTAGCTCTTTCATTCTGTTCACCTAAATGGAAAAAAGAAAGAATTAGTTTCCCTACTAACCGTGTATCAAGATAAGTGTCACTCCAATTACCTTCATGCACAATTAAAATCTTTCTTTACAAAGAAATTAAAGGTGAACAAAGTAAGCCAGGCGTGATGGTGCACGCCTTTAATCCCAGCACTCAGAGGCAGAGGCAGGCTAATCACTGTGAATTTGAGGCCAGCCTTGTCTACAAAGTAAGTCCAGGATAGCCAGAGCTACACAGAAAAACCCTGTCTCAAAAAAAAAAAAAAGGAGGTGGGGGTAGGGCAAAGTGTCTCACACTTGTAACCCTAGGACTTGGAAGACCAAGACAAGTTCAATGTCAGTCAGGATATATAAGGAGTTTCAGGGCAGCGTAGGCTACAGAGTAAGACCTTGTCTCAAAAAATGCAAGGTAGGAGGGAGGAAAGGAAGGAGGGAATGCTTTTGTTAGGCAAGGTGAAAAACAGCTGCAGCCTTAGAACTCTGGAGGCTGAGGCAAAAGGACTGTGAATTCAAGGCCAGCCTGGAATATACAGTGTGAACCTGTCTTAAATATATATGTATGTTATACATAGACATGTTACTTCAAAAAAACATGTGCCAAGCCAGGCCCGGTGGCGCACACCTGTAATCTCAGCGCTCTGGGAGGCAGAGGCAGGCAGATCTCTTTGAGTTTGAGGCCAGCCTGGTCTACAAAGGGAGTCCAGGACAGAGAAACCCTGTCTCCAAAAAAACAAAACAAGAACAACAACAAAAACATGGCTTCTAATCTCTTCTAATTAGAAGCCTCATGATGGCTTCTAATCTACTGCAGTATCATGGGTTTCACACATATTTCACAGAACCCATGACATTTCCCTCACACTTCAGTCTCTGAACAGAGACTAGTGAGATGGCTCAGTGGGCAGAACTGCAGCTGTGCAAGCATGATGACCTGAGTTCAAGTCCCACAACACACAGCAGAATTCAGAACTGACTCTGAAACTTGTCCTCTAACCTCTACTCACACTCACACATTATACATATACACACAATAAATGAACAAACAAACAAAATGAGAAACAAGCGCTAAGGTATGATCTGCTACCTGTGCCAACTTACTACCAGCCCAGCTACAGTCACTGTGTCACTGCCTAGGCAAGAATGAGTCTGTCCCAGAGTAATGCTACGACGCCTGCCAAAGACATACCTTCTACTCAGTAAAATCAGAACTTCAATTCTAAGTGGAAAGAAGAATACACACGTCAAAGTTTTTTTCCCTCTGAGTAATAAAAAGCATTGAGTCATTTCCTTCTAAAATTTCTTCATGAAATTCACAAATAACTGCATATACATTTATATTTTTAATTCAAAAGTCATGTTCTTCAAAGCCTCAAAGATACAACCCTCACATTTATTTTATAAATATATTTTTAAATTTACTTTTACAATTCTTGAGTTTAATTCAGAACTGCAAAGTTAAGCAAATACTCTACCACTAAGTCAAATTCTGCTTTTTTATATAAGAGACTTGATGAGCTTTTGTTTAAAAGAGTCAAACATAAATCAAAATAAGACATTTCTTTTTTTTTTTTTTTTGAGACAGCGCTTTACTATGTAGCTCAGCCTTTGAACTCACAGAGATCCATCTGCCTCTGCCTCCCTAGTGCTGGGATTAAAAACATGCACCTGGTTTATATTCTAACATGTGCTGACAACAACAAAAGATTACTTACAGATATACAATAAATCAAGTTTTAAAAACAGGATAACACATGTGACTCATTAACATCTATGTAGTAACTGATCACCAGCTGATCACCTATTGATCCTTGGATGGCTTCAGGAAGGTCATAAAGTATAGTAGTTATTGCCAGCTTGCTATAGAAAATCATGTTTGAGACTTCATTAAATTTCAATTGTAGAATATGCAATACCATACATGCACGAATATTGATAATGATATCAAGAAATACATTTACTAAGGTAAATAGAACTAAAAAGAGGGTAATTATGCAATTCAGCAATCAAGCACCCTTCTGCAAATACACTTCCATTTACCTGTGATCACCTACAGTACAAAATAATTAGGTGGAGAACTGAAATAATAAACAAGTTATATTTGGTGAACTGTGTGGTATTAATAAGATTTCACCTTTACCTGATCTTTCCCACCCACATGAATCGTCCCTTTGTCCAAAATATCCACACTCCATGTGCTGCTGCTCTGTAGTCACTCGGCCACTCTGGGTATTAGCATAGTATCTGGGCCTTGACAGTACTTGCAGCTTACTCCAGCAGGAGCTCTGGCAGGGTTCCTCAGGGAAAAGGGATCCGGAGGGAGGGAACTACTGTAGTTTGGGGTGGGAGAGAAACTATACATAAAACCTACCTTGGCCTGTAACTATAACAGCGATTCCTTTTTCTAGTTCTTCGATACCTTTCTTGTACCATTCCACAGCTTGTTCCTTCTGTCCTGCTTTAAAAATAGAAATCATTATTTGTACACATTATGGGCATGAAAATGCAACACCCATTGTCCCAAGTATCAGATTGAGAGGTGATACAGGAAAATGTTGAGATAAGTAAGTCCAAGAACACTGAAATTGTAGCTTAGTATGTAAGTGTCTCTTCAACAGGGAGACTTTAGTCCCAATATTTCTCAAATTTTAGGTCTTTCAACTTACACTTATTTATTGATAGGTGTGTGTGAGTGGTAGCACCCTTGCCACAGCATGCACGTGGGAGCCAGAGGACAGCCCATGGGAACTAAACTAAGATCATCAGGCTTAGCAATTAAGAATTTTTACCCACTGAACCATCTCACTGGTTTCTCTTGTGTAACCCTGGCTGTCCCGGAACTTATTCTATAGATCAGCTTGGCTTCAAACTCAGAGATCCTCTGGCCTCTGCTTCCTGAGTGCTAGGATTAAAGCGTGTGCCACCATGGCCAGCATTTTCAAAATAAGCTTAATCACAACTGCCATGATCACAAAATAAAATGAAGTCTTTTTTTTTTTTTTCAAGACAGTTTCTGTGTAGCTTTGGCTGTCCCAGACTCACTTTGTAGACCAGGCTGGCTTGTAACTCACAGAGATCCACCTGCCTCTGCCTCCCTGAATGATGGGATCACAGGCGTGCAACACAGCACCCGGCCTTCCACAAAAGAAAATGAAGTCTTTTTATATACATCATATACAACTATGATACACCTCTTCATGAATGCATATCCCCTATTCCCCCAGCAGCCTCCACCCACCTTTTTTAGACAGGTTCTATATATATAGCCCTGTGGTCTTGAAACTCACTATGCAGGACAAACTGACCTTGAATTCACAGAGATCTGTAGCCTCTGCCTCCTAGAACCGGGGTTAAAGGTGTATGCCATCATGCCCAGCCTCCATTCCCTTTTTATCCCCTAAGTAAGTCAGCTATATTTGGCAATTTCTTACTCTCATGATATCACGGTTTTTCACTGTGCCCAGTAAAGAGTAAGTATTTTAAAAGTAGTTGATAATGGCACATGAAAAAATTATTAAGAGCTTGTTATAAATCAACCTGGACCCGATGGCAGGAAGCTCAGAAGTTCAAGATCTTCCTCAGCTACAGAGCAAGTTTGAGGCTAGACTAGGTTAAAAGAGCTTCAGTTTACTGCAAACCAACTGAAACTCTGGATATTCATCTTCCCATTTTCTTTTTTTGAAATGGAGTCTCATGTAACTCAGGCTGGTCTCAGAATACATATATAGCTCAGGATGACCTTGAAATACTGACCCTCTGAGTACTAGCATTACAAGCTAGGATTACACAAGTGCACCACTATGCCTGGTTTCATTGCCCCATTTTCAATAACAAAATACCTCCTTACATGCATTTCTGGTTTTCTATCTTTACTTGAAAAAAAAAAGAAAGAAACAAATAGTATAATGACATTTACATTCTGAGTGATGACAGTATCATCAGCAACATCTTACATGTGACAGTGTTTAATACCACAGTGACAATATACTAGCAAATGTAAGAGTTCCTTTATAGTGCCTCTTATTCTCGTGGTCTTTCCCTTCCAAGAAGCCACTATCATGATCTCAACGCATATCTTTCTAGTACAGACATTTCTACTATATTAACCAATCCCTGCAGTATTTCTTTCTGTTTTGTTTTTTTGAGACAGGGTCTCTCTATGTGGCACTGGCTGTCTTGGAACTCAGTATGTAGATGAGTCCAGCGCTGAACCCAAGAGATGTAGCTGCCTCTGCCTACAGAGTGCTGGATTAAAGGCACTCACTACCATTCCTACCTTTCATTTACTTCTGTGTGTGCGTGTATGTGCAGGTCCAAAGCCCTGCATGTGTGTATGGAAGACAGAGGCTGATGTCCGCTAGCTTCTATTGCTCTCTACCTTTTTTATTATCATGTGGGGTGTGGCATGATTGCATATGCCACAGCAGGTGTGTGGTGGTCAAACGACAACTTGGTATAATCCTTTAGTTTTGACTTGTACAGCTATCAGGAAACGTATTTCCAATGATCTTAGAACTGAGATACCACTCAATAGCAAAATCATAGTGGTTATGAAGCAGCAACAGAAATAAATGTATGGTTGGTTGTTCCTAAGACCACTGGAAATAGGTGTTTGCTCATAGTTGCAACCCATGGTTGAAGCCACTGCACTATCTTGCTGGGTCCTTTTCCTTTATTTTTTTTAATTTTAATTTTTTACTATTTTAAAATAAGTGTCTGTGTGAGTATGTGTACCTGAGTGCTTGTGCCTGCAGAGGTCAAAGATGCCAGATGCCCTGGAGCTGCAGCTACAGAGGGAGGTGTCACGTGACATGAGTGCTGGCAACTGAAGTTGGGTCCTCTGAAGAGAGTGGTATGTACTCAACTTCTGAGCCCTCTCTCCAGTCCCTTTCCTTTTCTTTGTGGTACTGGAATTGAACCCAGGGCACTGGATTCATGCTAGGCAAGCTATGGCTATACACTAAGCTATATCCCAAACTATGCTCTTTTTTGGCCTTTTTATGATTTAAAGATTTTTATTTTATGTATGTGTGCGCGTGCACATGCTCGAGTATGACATGTGGGTGCCACAGTGCATATGTGGAGGTAAGAGGACAACTTAGGAAGTTGGTTATCTTCTTCAATGGTGAGGTCTGAGGACTGAATTCAAGGCCTGAGTAGCAAGTGCTTTTTACCTGCTGAGCCATCTTACTGGTGCACCAATCTAGTCTTAATGCCTGTATGAAAGCTCTCTAATTTGCAGCATTCTTTCTAGAATTTTCAGAGGCCATATCGGGGCTGGAGAGATGCCTCAGCAGTTAGAACACTCACTCTTGCACAGGGCCCAGATGTATATGTATACATTCGTTTCCCAGAATGTATATGGTAGCTCACAACCACCCACTCCAAGTCCAATGGGTCTGACACTCTCTTTTTGACCTATTCAGGCAGCAGGCACAAACATAGTATACATACAAACACTCATATACATAAAAGAATCTTACAAATTTTGTCTGTGTGTGCATACATGTGCTAGGATAGGTCAGAAGACACCTTTCAGGAGACCTTTAAGGAGACCATCCTATGTGGGTTCTGAGGATTGAGCCAGCTTTACAGCAAGATCCTTACCTAACCTGCTGAGCCATCTCACTGGCAACACTCTTTTCAGCATTTGCTTGTCACCTACATATTCTCTAACATTTTATTATATGTGCATGTATGTACACAGAAGTGTGGAGGTCAGAGGACAACCTTGGGGAATGATTCCGTCCTTCCATCTTTATGTGGGTTCCAGGACAAACTCAAAGCCATCAGGCTTTGAAGCAAAAGCCCTTTTAGCCAACAGTTACCTTGCTAGACCTTCTCTAGAGTGTAAAACTCAAGAGTATTTAAACAAAACTCTTTGAAAGCTTGAATAAGACAGTGATTTCTACGCTTGATTTTGGCCAGAAGGACGAGAATTGATTAGACAGATTTCTAGAACACAAAAAGCAAAACCCAGCAGGGCGCTGTAGCACATGCCTATAATCCCAGCACTTGGAGAGGCAGAGGCAGGCGGATCACTATGAGTCTGAAGGCAGCCTGGTCTACAAAGTGAGTCCAGGACAGCCAAGGCTACACAGAGAAACCCTGTCTCGAAAAAAGAAAAAAACCACCAACACCATCACCAACAAAAAGCAAAAGCCATAGAACTATGGATAAACTAAACCAATAAATTAGAACTCCTGCCATTCAATGCCAGTGTTCTAACAATGAAAAGACACCAAACAGGCTTTAAAAAAAATTCAAAACACTACCATGATCAATGAAGGACTTGCAGCTAGAATACACAAAGAACTCTTACAAAGCAATGATAAAAATGACCAAACAACATAGGACACAGTTTGATGGTCAAACATAACTCTAGCATGTGCAAAGCCCCGAATACAATCTCAAGTTCCTACGTAGGCAAAAAGAAACAACCTATGCACTGTCCCAGAGATGGTAAATGGTAAAGAAGCACTTGAAAGGCCACCTAATGTCGTCTCTTGTCAGAGAATACAAAGTTGAACACATGTCTCGATCCAGGCAGCACAGGTCTGTTGATCCCAGCTGCTCAGAGGCAGAGGGTCAGCAGGATCACAAGTTCAAGGCATCACTGTAGAGTGAGTGACTTCAAGGACAACCTGGGGCCAGTGTGTGAAGGCACTTGCTGCCAAGGCTGATCACCTGAGTTTGATCCCTGGGACCCACAGGATGCAAAGAGCGAACTTACTCCTGCAAGCTGGCTTCCACAGGCATATACTGTGGCACACATGCTCTATTCCACTCTCCTGCCCTCACCATAAGCACACATACAAAAATAAGTATATATTTTAGGTAAAATGATGTCTTGAGCTGTAGCTCAGTGGTGGAGTGCTTCAATCCTTATCTTTCAGATAAAGAAACTCAATGAGATGCCACTACATATCTAAAACAGAAGAAGCAAGCCAACTGTGGTGGTTTGAGTAAGAATGGTCCCAGAGGCTCATAGAATTCAATGTTTATTCACCAGGGAGTGGAACTGTTTGAAAGAATTAGAAGGATTAGGAGGTGTGCCATTGTGAGAGTAGTGTGACCCTGTTGGAATAACTGTGACTTTGTTGGGCGAAGTGTAGGAGGAAGTGTACCGATGGGCTTTGAGACTTCAAAAGCCCACATCAGCCCCATCCCCAGTCCTACCCCATGAATCAGGATGAAATTCTCAGCTACTACTCCAGCACCAACAGTACCATCATGCTCCCAGCATGGCCCTGCCATGACTAACTCTTTGAAACTCTAATTAGATGCTTTGCTTTCTTTTATAAGAGTTGCCTTGGTCATGGTGTCTCTTCACAGCAACACAACAGTGACTAAGACACCACCACCACCAAAAAACAAAACAAAACAAAACAAAACAAAACAAAAAACCAACAACAAAAAAAACACTAAAAGGATTTAATACAAAAAGCAATGGAC